CCACCACCTACTCATCTCCGCCACCCGTCTCCTGGACTATTCTGCATCTTTTATCTGTAAATAAACACTCTCATTCGTTCAACTCACCTTGTCCTGGTCTGCTTCTAGGTTCGGTCTTAGAGAACCGTGACATTAAGAATGTGAAATGTCAGAATAATAGTAGAGAGAATGATTTATTTCAGCTTCTATTTCTTTCATCACATTCCCAGTGGGTCAGAAGTTTACATACACTCAATTAGTATTTGGTAGCATTGCCTTTAAATTGTTTAACTTGGGTCACACGTTTCGGGTAGCCTTCCACAAGCTTCCCACAATAAGTTGGGTGAATTTTGGCCCATTCCTCCTGACAGAGCTGGTGTAACTGAGTCAGGTTTGTAGGCCTCCTTGCTCGCACACGCTTTTTCAGTTCTGCCCACAAATGTTCTATAGGATTGAGGTCAGGGCTTTGTTATGGCCACTCCAATACCTTGACTATGTTGTCCTTAAGCCATTTTGCCAATACTTTGGAAGTATTCTTGGGGTCATTGTCCATTTGGAAGACCCATTTGCGACCAAGCTTTAACTTGCTGACTGATGTCTTGAGATGTTGCTTCAATATATCCATATCATTTTCCTTCCTCAAGATGCCATCTATTTTGTGAAGTGTACCAGTCCCTCCTGCAGCAAAGCACCCCCACAGCATGATGCTGCCACCCCCGTGCTTCACAGTTGTGATGGTGTTCTTCGGTTTGCAAGCTGCCCCGTTTTTCCTCCAAACATAACGATGGTCATTATGGCCAAACAGTTCTATTTTTGTTTCATCAGACCAGAGGACATTTCTCCAAAAAGTATAGTCTGGCTTTTTTATGGCGGTTTTGGAGCAGTGGCTTCTTCCTTGCTGAGCGGCTTTTCAGGTTATGTCGATATAGGACTCGTTTTACTGTGGATATAGATACTTTTGTACCTGTTTCCTCCAGCATCTTCACAAGGACCTTTGTTGTTGTTCTGGGATTGATTTGTACTTTTCGCACCAAAGTACGTTCATCTCTAGGAGACAGAACGCGTCTCCTTCCTGAGCGGTATGACGGCTGCGTGGTCCCATGGTGTTTATACTTGCGTACTATTGTTTGTACAGATGAACGTGGTACCTTCAGGAGTTTGGAAATTGTTCCCAAGGATGAACCAGACTCGTGGAGGTCTACAAATATTTTTCTGAGGTCTTGGCTGATTTCTTTTGATTTTCCCATGATGTCAAGCAAAGAGGCACTGAGTTTGAAGGTAGGCCTTGAAATACATCCACAGGTACACCTCCAATTGACTCAAATGATGTCAATTAGCCTATCAGAAGCTTCTAAAGCCATGACATGATTTTCTGAAATTTTCCAAGCTGTTTAAAGGCACAGTCAACTTGGTGTATGTAAACTTCTGACCAACTGGAATTGTGATACAGTGAATTATAAGTGAAATAATCTGTTTGTAAACAATTGTTGGAAAAATTACTTGTGTCATGCACAAAGTACATGTCCTAACCAACTTGCCAAAACTATAGTTTGTTAACAAGACATTTCTGGAGTGGTTGAAAAACGAGTTTGTAAACTTCCGACTTCAACTGTACCTATCAAGATGTTGTAAGATCGGTCAAGCATCAGCAACTTCTAAGCTCTGGAATGTGGCCATAGTCTCTGGCAGCTGGCTGCTGCTGTGCACTGGGGGTCCTGCATGTCCTGCTTAAGTGCTGAAAAGTCATTGGCAATGTCAGGGGTCTGTAACTTGTGGCTCCGGAGCCTCATAGGGCTCCTTAGCTGTCCCTTTGTGACTCCAGTGGTGGGAAGTCATTAGCTAGGTGCTCCAGACCTCTCTTGAACACAACCACAACCCAGTGAATACAATGACCAAGTCAGGCCAAGGGAGTTGGACACCAAGGGCTCAAGAATGATAACGGTATAATGTAGTAGCATGCTCAGGGAGAGATCCGATACAATGCTCCAGTCCCAACAGTACTCTGCACTCTCTGTAACACACAAACCTAGATCTGTTTTGTTCGGGGGTGAAAGTTGCCGATGTAATTGGTGCCAAGTCTCCATTGTTCTCTTCATGTTGTCTTGTGCCTAGTAAAGGCCCTATGTACTGCACGTGTGGTGATAGAGAAGCTGGCCTGTCCAAAGGAACACAGGCGTTCTGCCCAGGTGCCCACTTATTGTGTCTGGCTCTAGACTAGAGCCTTAAGGGAGGGAAAAGGTATTAAGAAGTGTGGGACTTGTGTTAAGGGCTGAAAATCAACTCCTATGCTGAGCCAATGAAACATTGAATTTAAAGGCACAGTCTACTTAGTGTATGTAAACTTCTGACAAACTGGAATTGTGATACAGTGAAATATAAGTGAAATAATCTGTCTGTAAACAATTGTTGGAAAAATTACTTGTGTCATGCACAAAGTAGATGTCCTAACCGACTTGCCAAAACTATAGTTTGTTAACAAGAAATTTGTGGAGTGGTGGAAAAACAAGTTTTAATGACTCCAACCTAAGTGTATGTAAACTTTCGACTTCAACTGTACATATTATTGGCATAACAGCAACCAATGTTGCTTCCCTTCTTCCTTTTTCATATTTCCCTACCTTCTCCCCTCCACCACTACCTCTGTAGAAATAATTGGTAATGTCACCACTGTTTCACTGTAGTGCCCCAGCAAGTTGTTCTGTTACAGATGCAAAATTCCCTTGTCCAAAAAGAATAACTGCAAACTCTTGACCTCGGCTTCAAACACATCCACTCCTTTCCCCATCAACTCAACCACCTACCTCCTCCACCATCTTCTCTCCCCTCTCCTCCACTCAACCACCTACCTCCCCCACCATCTCCTCTTCTCTCCCTTCAACTCAACCACCTACCTCCTCCACCGTCTTCTCTCCCCTCCACTCAACCACCTGTTTCCCCCACCATCTTATGTAAACTTCCGACTTCAACTGTACATGTGTGTCACGACTTCCTCCAAAGCTGCCTCCCCTCCTTGTTCGGGCAGGCTTCGGTGTTCGTCGTCACCAGCCTTCTAGCCACTGCCGCTCCATATCTCATCATTCCATTTGTCTTGTCTTGTCTATTACACACACCTGGTTCATATTCCCCTCATTAGTACGTGTTTATGTGTTCCCTCTGCCCCCCTTGTCCTTGTGAGTGATTGTTCATTTTGAGGTTTAGTAGCTCGGTTGAGCTCAGTATTTTGTATTGCCGGGGTATTTTCCCTGTGTGCATGTTTGTTCCAGTGCACCTGTTTTGCGCACTGGACTGGTTACGCTGGATTACGGAATAAACTCTGTATACTGTGATTTACCCTCCTGCACCTGACTCCTTCAAATCACGCATCACAATGTAATTAAAAGACGAATACATTTTTTGAAAAATGTGTTTGTCAAAGTGCGACGTGAATGCGGTAGGCGAAGTCAAACGCAGGACACCGAGCTACTGGAAACGATACTTTACTAACAAAGTAACCAGAATACAAAACAACCTCCAAACAGGGAGGGGAATACCCGCACACTAGCAACTGCCGAAAATGACCAGAACAATCACACACAACACACAATGAACGACAGAGGGTTAAATAGGGAATACAATACAACATAATAGGAAACAGGTGTACACAATCAAGACAAAACAAGTCAAACACAGAAACATAGATCGGTGGCAGCTAGTACTCCGGGGACGACGAACGCCGAAGCCTGCCCGAGCAAGGAGGAGGAGCAGCCTCGGCTGATTCCGTGACAATGTTGAACATATTTTTCTTAAACATGATCTATATAACAAATCACAATTATTATAAAGTCCCAGACAATACTGTGAAATGTGAAACAAAAAGTAGTAGCCTAATTCCATGAGAAGGTATTACAATTTATATTTTTTAACTTAAAGCAGGAATACTTAATTGAAACAATAACAAAGTGTATTCCTCGCCCCTGTTTCCCTAAAAAGCTAAGGGATGGGGCTGGAGAAATATAAGCACTCTCAAATTAATTGACAGAGGTATGGATGCAAGGACTGACCATCCATTATATCAAATGTATAGTTTTAAGCATATTTTGAGGCTATACAGTGTTTGTTTACATTTATGTTGTTACGAACATTGAAGTAAAACAAGCTTATATTTTGGGTTCTGATGGGGTATGATAGTTGAACTAAGGCATTTACAAGTTATATTCTTCAAGAATCAATGGCTATATATCATTAATTTATAAGTCAGAAAATAGGATTCTAGCTTAAAACATAATTTACAGTATAAAACAAAATGTGTAATTATACGACTAGAAAATTGCAGGAGTGGTTAGTTTTGAACAACATAACAAAGTGACTTATTTCCAAACACTCACATCAGAAGATAAATGAAATAGGGGGGTTGGAAGGAATAGGAGAGCACTACAGAAGTGGATGATGTGGTGAATGATGGACAGAGTCAGGCGCAGGAGTAAAATAACCGGATGCAGATTTATTCCTTCCAGACATACAATACGCCTACAACGGCAATCGAAACAGGTACAGGGGAAACAATCCTTCCTGACCAAACACAGTCTCAGAAATACAATAAATGTAATGACACAGGGGAAAATCAACCCTGGCAAAATAAATGAGAGAGTATCTCAACCGAGCTACTCTCCTCCCACATAAAACAATCACTCACAAAGACAAGGGGGCAGAGGGAACACTTATACACAGACTAATTAGGGGATGAGCACCAGGTGTGTGTGATTGACAAGACAAGACAAGTGGAGTGATGAGAATGGGAGCGGCAGTAGCTAGTAAGCCGGTGACGACGAACGCCGAAACCTGCCCGAACAAGGAGGGGAGGCAGCCTCGGCAGAAGTCGTGACAGATGAGGTGAGTTTCCCCCTTTACTATGAAAAGAGGACCTGGAAAAATGCAACATAAATCCAGCCAATATTATTAACATGTTATCTTTAATTATTTTTATTTGTATTATTGTTATTATTATTGTTAAATGAAGTTAATGAGGTAATCCCAAACTCACTGTCATCGGTGATGCAGATGAAGTTGAGATCATCAGTCTCAGGCAGACTGACCCACCACTGGTGATCTCCTCCAGACTGGACAGCACCGGTTCTCCCACAGTCCTCCCTGCGGAACCCGTGTCCCGGAGCCCAGTTGTGGTAGCAGGTGCCCTCTCCACTGATCCAGAACCAGAAGTCCACTGTGCAGGTGTGGCACAGGCCCAGCCACACATGAGAAGTGGAGGCCCTCTTGGCGCTGGCCGCCACCCAGCTCTGGATCTCCTTCAGATTCAGATTAGTTTATTGCCACACAACCAAAGGTTGATGGTATTTGCTTTCGGTACAACTTGATAGAATAGTCTGATCAAGTACTCAACAAGGTATACTTTAGAGACCATAGACATAGAATGACATTCTATATCTATGCTTTAGACAAAATATTCACCCAAAAACAAAACTATACAACATTCATGTATAAAGTATACATACATGGGAGTGGACAGAAACCAGGTGATGGTGGTGCTCTCTGCAGTAGTCCAGAGCATCGTTTGACGTCTTGTTCTCACGGACCAGGATCAGCTTATCTGGGGAGGATGAGTTTGTGATATTTGAACACACATTCAGAGATGTACAGTCGTGGTCAAAAGTTTTGAGAATGACACAAATACTAATTTGCCTGCTGCCTCAGTTTTGATGATTGCAATTTGCATATACTCCAGAATGTCATGAAGAGTGATCAGATGAATTGCAATTAATTACAAAGTCCCTCTTTGCCATGAAAATGAACTTAATCCCCCAAAAACATTTCCACTGCATTTCAGCCCTGCCACAAAAGGACCAGCTGACATCATGTCAGTGATTCTCTCGTTAACACAGGTGAGAGTGTTGACGAGGACAAGGCTGGAGATCACTCTGTCATGCTGATTGAGTTAGAATAACATACTGGAAGCTTTAAAAGGAGGATGCTGCTTGAAATCATTGTTCTTCCTCTGTTAACCATGGTTACCTGCAAGAAAACACGTGCCGTCATCATTGCTTTGCACAAAAAGGGCTTCACAGGCAAGGATATTGCTGCTAGTAAGATTGCACCTAAATCAACCATTTATCGGATCATCAAGAACTTCAAGGAGAGAGGTTCAATTGTTGTGAAGAAGGCGTCAGGGCGCCCAAGAAAGTTCAGCAAGCGCAAGGACCGTCTCCTAAAGTTGATTCAGCTGCGGGATCGGGGCACCACCAGTGCAGAGCTTGCTCGGGAATGGCAGCAGGCAGGTGTGAGTGCATCTGCACGCACAGTGAGGCGAAGACTTTTGGAGGATGGCCTGGTGTCAAGAAGGGCAGCAAAGAAGCCACTTCTCTCCAGGAAAAACATCAGGGACAGACTGATATTCTGCAAAAGGTACAGGGATTGGACTGCTGAGGACTGGGGTAAAGTCATTTTCTCTGATGAATCCCCTTTCCGATTGTTTGAGGCATCCGGAAAACACCTTGTCCGGAGAAGACAAGGTGAGCGCTACCATCAGTCCTGTGTCATGCCAACAGTAAAGCATCCTGAGACAATTCATGTGTGGGGTTGCTTCTCATACAAGGGAGTGGGCTCACTCACAATTTTGCCTAAGAACACAGCCATGAATAAAGAATGGTACCAACACATCCTCCGAGAGCAACTTCTCCCAACCATCCAAGAACAGTTTGGTGACGACCAATGCCTTTTCCAGCATGATGGAGCACCTTGCCATATGGCAAAAGTGATAACTAAGTGGCTCGGGGAACAAAACATCGACATTTTGGGTCCATGACCAGGAAACTCCCCAGACCTTAATTCCATTGAGAACTTGTGGTCGATCCTCAAGAGGCGGGTGGACAAACAAAAACCCACAAATTCTGACAAACTCCAAGCATTGATTATGCAAGAATGGGCTGCCATCAGTCAGGATGTGGCCCAGAAGTTAATTGACAGCATGCCAGGGCGGATTGCAGAGGTCTTGAAAAAGAAGGGTCAACACTGCAAATATTGACTCTTTGCATAAACTTAATGTAATTGTCAATAAAAGCCTTTGACACTTATGGAATGCTTATAATTATACTTCAGTATACCATAGTAACATCTGACAAAAATATCTCATAACACTGAAGCAGCAAAATTTGTGAAGACCAATACTTGTGTCATTCTCAACACTTTTGACCACGACTGTAGATATAGGCTTCTCATATAGTCTTCTCCGTAATATAACTCATTACAGAAGAAAAAAAAGACAAACAGATGAGATGGTAACTCACCATCATATCAAAAGAAAGGTTGTTTTAAGTTACATTTCTTATCATTCCATCTTCCTGACTGGTTTATAAATGTCACAGTACAGTTCTGATTCCCTTTGTTGTTATTGGGCTGTCCCTCATTCCAGTATCTGAAAGAGTTACTCCCGTCCGACCACTTCCAGGAGTCTCTGAAAAGGCCAATTCACACGCCCCTGTCTTCTGGCACTAGATTCTGTATCTGCTGGTTCCTCACACTGGCAAGGTCTGTGTGTTTCTCCCTACAGTAGCTCTGAGCATCTTTCCACGTCTTATTCTCCCTAATCAAATGGAATGTCTCATTGAAATGTTTCAGTCCTGTAACTTAAATATAAACATAATTGTCAAGTTTTACTTTAACAGTTTCATATTTCCAGACATAAAAATTGTCTGACCAACAGATATCTGTAGAATATTTTGAGAATATGTATTATTGTCTGATCAGGGGCTTACCATTATAGCAAATAAATAAACGTTTTGGACTACATGTGGCATCGTTCCATGAACCAGTGTTTTCCATCAACACACAGTCCTCATTCCCTCCCAGATAATTTGGTTCTCTTGGTTTCCAGTGAGTCTCCTTCTCAATAAACTCACTATCTGCTAGTGACCAATGCCATGTCTTACTGTCTTCCTTTTCTAGCCCTATCCAGGCTCATTCATTATATCTACTGTCTACAGTGTTGATCAGTCTGTTCATATCATCCATGTTCTCTATGGTGGCCAGGTCAGTGTACTTCTTTCTGCAGTAGCTCTGTGTGTCAGTCCAGGTCTGAGGGTCGTTAACAAAGTGATACTCATTATCAGGGAGGCATGATGTGGATGAACAGTGTCCTGTAAGAGAGAAACAAAACATTGATGTTGGTGTGGAAGCAAAACTCACATTTCTGCCCTTGTGAATACTGTCATATTTGATAAATACTTGATAAGTATTTTATAAGTTTAAGCAACTCCTTTGCAAGTAGATTACCTAATGGCTTGTTTATGCATGTTACTTGCAGGAGTGTCATGTAAGTCCACCTCTGGAGAAGGAGAAAGAGTGGAGGGGAGAGAAGATGGTGGGGGAGGTAGGTGGTTGAGTGGAGGGGAGGGGAGAGGAGAGAAGATGGTGGAGGAGGTAGGTGGTTGAGTGGAGGGGAGGGGAGAGAAGATGGTGGAGGAGGTAGGTGGTTGAGTGGAGGGGAAAGAAGATGGTGGGGGAGGTAGGTGGTTAGTGGAGGGGAGGGGAGAGAAGATGGTGGAGGAGGTAGGTGGTTGAGTGGAGGGGAAAGAGATGGTGGGGGGAGGTAGGTGGTTGGTGGGTGGGAAGAAGCTGGTGGTGAGGTGGTGGTTGGGGCGGGTGGAGGCGCGTGGTGGTTTGGTGGTGTTGAGTGGGGGAGGCTGATTGGATGGTGTGGTTTTGAAGGCCGGTGGGCGGCGGTAGAGTGTTGTGTTTGAAGCCTGAGGTCAAGGAGTTTGCAAGCATATTCTTTTTGGACAAGGGGAATTTTGATCTGTAACAGAACACTTGCTGGGGCACTACAGTGAACAGTGGTGACATTACCCAATTATTTCTACAGAGGTAGTGGTGGAGGGGAGAAGGTAGGGAAATATGAAAAAGGAAGAAGGGAAGCAACATTGGTTGCTGTTATGCCAATAATATGTACAGTTGAAGTCGGAAGTTTACATACAGTTAGGTTGGAGTCATTAAAACTTGTTTTTCCACCACTCCACACATTTCTTGTTAACAAACTATAGTTTTGGCAAGTCGGTTAGGACATCTACTTTGTGCATGACACAAGTAATTTTTCCAACAATTGTTTACAGACAGATTATTTCACTTATAATTCACTGTATGACAATTCCAGTGGGTCAGAAGTTTACATACACTAAGTTGACTGTGCCTTTAAACAGCTTGGAAAATTCCAGAAAATGATGTCATGGCTTAGAAGCTTCTATAGGCTAATTGACATCATTTGAGTCAATTGGAGGTGTACCTGTGGATGTATTTCAAGGCCTACCTTCAAACTCAGTGCCTCTTTGCTTGACATCATGGGAAAATCAAAAGAAATCAGACAAGACCTCAGAAAAAAAATTGTAGACCTCCACAAGTCTGGTTCATCCTTGGGAGAAATTTCCAAATGCCTGAAGGTACCACGTTCATCTGTACAAACAATAGTACTTAAGTATAAACACCACGGGACCACGCAGCCATCATACCGCTCAGGAATGAGACGCGTTCTGTCTCCTAGAGATGAACGTACTTTGGTGCGAAAAGTGCAAATCAATCCCAGAACAACAGCAAAGGACCTTGTGAAGATGCTGGAGGAAACAGGTACAAAAGTATCTATATCCACAGTAAAACGAGTCCTATATCGACATCACCTGAAAGGCCGCTCAGCAAGGAAGAAGCCACTGCTCCAAAACCGCCATAAAAAAGCCAGACTACGGTTTGCAACTGCACATGGGGACAAAGATTGTACTTTTTGGAGAAATGTACTCTGGTCTGATGAAACAAATGAACTGTTTGGCCATAATGACCATCGTTATGTTTGGAGGAAAAACGGGGCAGCTTGCAAACCGAAGAACACCATCACAACTGTGAAGCACGGGGGTGGCAGCATCATGCTGTGGGGGTGCTTTGCTGCAGGAGGGACTGGTACACTTCACAAAATAGATGGCATCTTGAGGAAGGAAAATGATATGGATATATTGAAGCAACATCTCAAGACATCAGTCAGGAAGTTAAAGCTTGGTCGCAAATGGGTCTTCCAAATGGACAATGACCCCAAGAATACTTCCAAAGTATTGGCAAAATGGCTTAAGGACAACAGGGTCAAGGTACTGGAGTGGCCATCACAAAGCCCTGACTTCAATCATATAGAAAATTTGTGGGCAGAACTGAAAAAGCGTGTGTGAGCAAGGAGGCCTACAAACCTGACTCAGTTACACCAGCTCTGTCAGGAGGAATGGGCCAAAATTCACCCAACTTATTGTGGGAATCTTGTGGAAGGCTACCCGAAACGTTTGACCCAAGTTAAACAATTTAAAGGCAATGCTACCAAATACTAATTGAGTGTATGTAAACTTCTGACCCACTGGGAATGTGATGAAAGAAATAAAAGCTGAAATATATCATTCTCTCTACTATTATTCTGACATTTCACATTCTTAAAATAAAGTGGTGATACTAACTGACATAAGACAGGGAATTCTTACTAGGATTAAATGTCAGGAATTGTGAAAAACAGAGTTTAAATATATTTGGGTAAGGTGTATGTAAACTTCCGACTTCAACTGCATTAGACTGTTTAAAAATTACAGATTATTATATATCATATTATATACACATTGTGCCATGTTTTATAGTGTTAAAGAATGTTTTTCTTTGTTTTTTGGTACATCATCATTTAAATTGTTATTCTTTGAGAACAAGTTCTCATTTACAACTGCGACCTGGCCAAGATAAAGCAAAGCAGTATGGTAAAAAAACAACAACACAGAGTTACATATGGAATAAACTAAATGTACAGTCAATAACACAATAGAAAATATATATACAGTGTGTGCAAATGTAGTAAGTTATGGAGGTAAGGCAATAAATAGGCCATAGTGCAAAATAATTACAATTATAATGTAGTATTAACACTGGAGTGATATATGTGCAGAAGATGATGTGCAAATAGAGATACTGGGGTGCAAATGAGCAAAATAAATAACAATGTAAATAACAATATGGGGATGAGGTAGTTGGGTGGGCTAATTACAGATGGGCTGTGTACAGGTGCAGTGATCGGTAAACTGCTCTGACAACTGATGCTTAAAGATAGTGAGGGAGATAAGTGTCTCCAGCTTCAGAGATTTTTGCAGTTCGTTCCAGTCATTTGCAGCAGAGAACTGGAAGGAATGGCGACCAAAGGAGGTGTTGGCTTTGGGGATGACCAGTGAGATATACCTGCTGGAACGCATACTACGGGTGGGTGTTGCTATGGTGACCAATGAGCTAAGATAAGGCGGGGATTTGCCTAGAAGTGATTTATAGATGACCTGGAGCCAGTGGGTTTGGCGACGAATATATAGTGAGGGCCAGCCAACGAGAGCATACACGTCACAATGGTGGGTAGTATATTCTTATTTTTTAATCTGCAGGAACAGGGAATTAGGTGCGTGGGCCATGGGGCGGTCGCACCGGTGCTGGCCCGCTTCTGAGTATAGCACAAATGACATACACACAGCAACTTCACAGCAAGATAGCACAACATCATTACGTCATATCATATCTACAAGACATTACCAGCGTAACAAGTAGGGCCTACTAACAGGTCTATCAAAAAAAGCATACACATTTTAATGTCTAGCACACAGGAAACTATTCTACCTGACATATGGACACTGAGGCATCATGTTGCTAAACCAAAGACCTGGGATAGAGGGGCTCAGTAAATGTGGTGGGGAAAGTGTCCAGGTGGGTCAGTGTGTTAGGGGAGACTCAGTAGTAGAGTGCTAGTGGTAGTACTTTATAATTGTGACACCAGTGTAGTGAACAGAGACAGTGCTGTGCACCTCAATCCCTGGTCTCCCAGCCTGTAGGCAAACTTTTTAACCACTGCTCCAATAGGGTTAACCCACTTGACTTGGGGAGATCCCAACAAGCCTACCTGCTCTAGAGGTGTTGCACTATCCCCTCCATATAGTAGAGTGTGTCCCCATGCTTCACTATACGGTAACAATCCTTACCTACGTATGCTTGTTATAACCTCCCCCAAGTGGATTAACATAAATGTAAACCCTTCCCACATGTGTAGTCTACAGTAATTTTGTAGGACCAACCCAGGCATTAAAAGGGAATACAGTGAGGGAAAAAAGTATTTGATTTTGTACGTTTGCCCACTGACAAAGACATGATCAGTCTATAATTTTAATGGTAAGTTTATTTGAACAGTGAGAGACAGAATAACAATAAAAAAATCCAGAAAAACGCATGTCAAAAATGTTATAAATTGATTTGCATTTTAATGAGGGAAATAAGTATTTGACCCCTCTGCAAAACATGACTTAGTGCTTGGTGGCAAAACCCTTGTTGGCAATTACAGAGGTCAGACCTTTCTTGTAGTTGGCCACCAGGTTTGCACACATCTCAGGAGGGATTTTGTCCCACTCCTCTTTGCAGATCTTCTCCAAGTTATTAAGGTTTTGAGGCTGACGTTTGGCAACTCGAACCTTCAGCTTCCTCCACAGATTTTCTATGGGATTAAGGTCTGGAGACTGGCTAGGCCACTCCAGGACCTTAATGTGCTTCTTCTTGAGCCACTCCTTTGTTGCCTTGACCATGTGTTTTGGGTGATTGTCATGCTGGAATACCCATCCATGACCCATTTTCAATGCCCTGGCTGAGGGAAGGAGGTTCTCACTCAAGATTTGACGGTACATGGCGCCGTCCATCGTCCCTTTGATGGGGTGAGGTTGTCCTGTCCCCTTTGCAGAAAACCCCCCCCCAAAGCATAATGTTTCCACCTCCATGTTTGACGGTGGGGATTGTGTTCTCGGGGTCATAGGCAGCATTCCTCCTCCTCCAAACACGAGTTGAGTTGATGCCATAGAGCTCCATTTTGGTCTCATCTGACCACAACACTTTCACCCAGTTCTCCTCTGAATCATTCAGATGTTCATTGGCAAACTTCAGACGGGCCTGTATATGTGCTTTCTTGAGCAGGGGGACCTTGCGGGCGCTGCAGGATTTCAGTCCTTCACGGCGTAGTGTGTTACCAATTGTTTTCTTGGTGACTATGGTCCCAGCTGCCTTGAGATCATTGACAATATCCTCCCATGTAGTTCTGGGCTAATTCCTCACCGTTCTCATGATCATTGCAACTCCACAAGGTGAGATCTTGCATGGAGCCCCAGGCCGAGGGAGATTGACAGTTCTTTTGTGTTTCTTCCATTTGCGAATAATCGCACCAACTGTTGTCACCTTCTCACCAAGCTGCTTGGCGATGGTCTTGTAGCCCATTCCAGCCTTGTGTAGGTCTACAATCTTGTCCCTGATATCCTTGGAGACCTCTTTGGTCTTGGCCATGGTGGAGAGTTTGGAATCGGATTGATTGATTGCTTCTGTGGACAGGTGTCTTTTATACAGGTAACAAGCTGAGATTAGGAGCACTCCCTTTAAGAGTGTGCTCCTAATCTCAGCTCGTTACCTGTATAAAAGACACCTGGGAGCCAGAAATCTTTCTGATTGAGAGGGGGTCAAATACTTTTTTCCCTCATTCAAATGCAAATCAATTTATAAAAATGTTTACATGCGTTTTTCTGGATTTTTTGTTTTGTTATTCTGTCTCTCACTGTTCAAATAAACCTACCATTAAAATTATAGACTGATCATTTCTTTATCAGTGGGAAAACGTACAAAATCAGCAGGGGATCAAATACTTTTTTCCCTCACTGTATATGCCAATACCCTACAATGAAAAAGACCAGAAACTCGATAGAAATCACAAGGCAAAACCAACACAGCAAGCTTTTTAAATGCATGTTGTTCTTTAGTCAAACGAGAGCATCATGCATTGAAAAAACGTATTGCAGTATATTAACCTTTTCTTTCGGACTACATGACTTTACCCCGATCACCCCATTCCATAGGCCAAGTCTTGCTTGTGAAAGATGTCTTCTGACCTCACACTTCCTGGTTAAATAAACGTAAAATAACAAATACATACATACAGTGGCGATTTTAGCTTGTAAGTCTTGGTGGGGCAAACTCAAAACTATTTTTTTAGATGCATGCCAGCAAAGCCACTACATAACACTAAACAATACATTAATTGCACTATACCGGTGACAAACGGTGCCCACAAACTGTTAGGGCCTACATAAAGCTGTCCCAACAGCAGAGTCCCAATATCAGTCCCAATACCTTACCACTGCTACACCTGGCTATCAGCGGAGCCTTGTCTGGCAGTGAAACAGTTAATTCAGCCTCATTTACTGCCTTTAAAAAAACATAGCTGATATGGCTGGCTTAAACAAATGTGGTTTCTACTGACAATTGAGATGTACAAACTATGGCAGAAGGGGACGACTGTCAAAGCGACGTGTATGCAGTAGGCGAAGTCAAGAGCAGGACACCGAGCTACTGGCAGATACTTTACTGGATACAGTGCAAATCCAAAGTACAAAGGCAACCTCATACAGAGAGGAACGATACAACCCGCACACATGGGCAACTGCCGAAAAGACCAAAACAATTACGCACAATACACAATGAGAAACAGAGGGTTATAAAGGGAACACAATAAAACATAATGGGAAACATAATGGTAGACAATAAAGACCAAACAAGACAAACACCGAAACATAGATCGGCAGCAGCTAGTACTCCGGGGACGACGAACGCCGAAGCCTGCCCGAGCAAGGAGGAGGAGCAGCCTCGGCTGAATCCGTGACAACGACGAGCGGATAAGATGCAATCTGTAATTTCGATTAAGACATTAATGAGCGAGCTAGGACGGACGTAGTCAATATAACTATTTGTTCAGCACTTTTTAAATGTACAGCGACAGGAAGGTGGCGCGACGGTCCTTTGTGGGCAACTTTTGTCATCAAACTTTGTCATTAAAGTCTGGCATTCTCTGGATTTATGGTGCTTTCAAGACAACTGGGAACTCTGAAAAAAAACAAGGTTGAATCATGGTCGGAGCTCTAGAAAGAGGTCCAAGTTCCCGACTTGTAATTTCGAGGTGGATGACCGTTCAAAACGTATTTTCCCATTCAGAGCTTGTTTTTTTCTAAGTTCCCAGTTGTCTTGAACTCACGGAAGTCTGAGATTTCCCAGTTCCAAGTTTCCAGTTGTTTTGAACGTGGTAGAAGTCATGCTGGATTGACAGCATGGCCAACGTTGAATGTTTATCGTTTTAAGCTTGGAAACAAGACCCTTAAACACAGACTTGGACCACACACACACTCCACTGAATAGCAGGGTAGTGATTGCTTTGCCACTGATTCCTTCCAAACCGCTCATTGTTGAATTTGCAATTTCCAACTTGTTGTGTAATGTTTATGTCCAATGGCCGATTAGCACCGATACGTTTTATCTATAATTTATTTTCATTATTTCTCTTCATATGACAAGGATTAAAAATGATTTTGAAAGTATGATGTTGACAGTCTAATCAAAACTACGGTAGATATAACATGATTTGAAGTCATTTTATCTGTGGCCAATGACCTTGACTTCTTGGATGGGCACTTCTAATGTAACTCTATGGCAGCACCTAAAGGGCTTGAATTTTCGAACACTCCCCGTAGATTTTGCGGTGACGTGTTGTCCCCATGAGTGACAGAACACTGAGCCAATCACTGCGCAACTACCAACCCCTATGCTCCGTATTTTCCGCTGGCTGCCCCACCACCACAGAAAGCACTGAGCTAGGCTGAAACACATGCATTTTGGAGCTGCCTTACTCAACAAAGCAAAAAAGAGACCATGTACTTTATGGGATACAATTAAGTTAAGGTGTTATCAAGGGTTATCATTCTTATTTGATTTGTTATTTTGATTTAACATCCAGTGTTGTTTTTTTGTTTTTTTTGGGGGGGGGGCCTTACCTCTGGCACTAATGAGTTATCGCATGCACGCTAACAGAATAACGCATCTAACACCACATAAAATGCTTACTGGTTGACCCATACCAGTGCCGGTGCTTAGGGGACCATATGAGGGTCCGCTTCTAGAGCAACTGGAAAGGGAATTGTGGTTGAGGCTGTAGTTGTGGACCTCCTTGGAGAACAGGTGCCATGGCGCCCTCTTCTGGCAGTGCTGGAGTAATCACTGGGGATTGTGTTTTCTTTTTGTCCTTTCTTGTCAGCTCTTCCAGCTGCATCTGTCCCAGTTTTCTCAGAATGTCTCTCCACTGCTTCGCCAGTTTCTGTTCATCCCTCCTGTATTTCTCCATTGCGTGGATAATATGGTCGCAGAATTCCTTGTGTGAATTTGACGTTGGTCCCACCACATCTTCCAGTCTGCTTCTGACAGGCGTTGGCATTGCCTCCATCAGTGATGTCCTGAATAGTGTTGTCTTCAGTGGATCCCTCTCTGGGTCTTTTTCGGTTTCTTGTCGCCAACCTCTTGAGCTGATCCTCTAGGTAGCTTGCATGGTTTTCTTTATCCCCCAATGGTTCCCCTATCAGTGCTTTAGGGTCTATTTTGGCTTGATACTCCATTCTCAGAGTGTGCCATATTCCTGGCCTATAATTGTCAAAGACCACTCCATCCAGTAACGTCCTCCACACCGCCTGTATGAGGCCACCCGCCTGCAACAGGTCCTCCATTTTGGCCACTCCCACCACCCTGGCCAGCAATGCCTTCAAATCTCCCACCGTCAGTAGCTTCACCATTGTTTGTTCTTCAAATGTTCTAATCCATTTTCCTGCTCCTTCATGTATGTTAGGCAGTCTAGTCACCAGGCCTTCCAGGTCCTGTGATCCCCAAGGCACATAGTGAACCTGTGTCCCCTTTACCAAAATGGGATACTGGGCTCCATATTTGTCTGGCTTTTTTATTGTTCTTCTGTTTCTTAATTCTCTCTTAGATTTTTTCCAGGTGGGCTTGCAGTGCTTCACCAAGTTCTGTTACTATAGATTTGCCTCCTGTGGCTCCTTGCTGTGATAATTGTCCCTCTGTCTCACTCTGTTCTTGCTCAGAGTCAGCACACTGTTTAAGTTCCTCATCTTCCTCAATACTTGCATCATCCCACTCACTCTGTCCATCAACATCTTGTTCATCTATCCCATAATTTTCCAGTTTGTTTAACATACCCTTCAGTCCCTCATAACAGTCTATATCTAAGTGTGATCCTCTTCCTCCTGTTCTATAGTTCTTTATTAGGGTATCCATGTCCTCTCACACTGCCACATCAAACATCCCTTTCTTTGGCCATTTTGTTGCTATTTTTCTGGTAATGTTATCATTGTAACCTATTGCATTAATTTAGTCAAAAATATAAATGTGTTGTTTAATAAATGTAGAACCTGCAACAAGTTGGTGCTATCCCATCAGCGTAATAGTCAAAACTACCTGCAATCCACTGTTCAACGTAACGACAACAAATTATCGTTTTAGAATTCATTAACTATTTGCATACGTCACTGGTGTTACGCAAACTATAGAATTGAGTAATAACAATTAGAATTTGTCAAATAATATTTCCCGATTCAACTATTCAGACCTCTGCTTCAAATGTCCCTTACAACCCGATACAGTCCAGCAAGTACGACTCTCTTTCACCCGCGAGCTAAAACATGGCATCAGTAAAGTCTATTCGCAAACCACCAATAACTAGTAGTATATTTGCATTCATATAATTAGAAGACATTACTTTAATTCCAGTCTACCCAAACCATTCAAATTTGAAATTCTCACTTCCCTATTAATTTACTTTCCTTTGTTATCAGTTAAAATCATGGCCACAGCTCTATTGTAATTGCCAATCCGCTTTTACATTTATGTGACTGTCCTTTCTGATTAGTTAATAAAACAAACACTTGCTATAGTTGACAAGCATATATTCAATTAATATCCATATTCAATTCAATATTCCAAATTACAACCCTATTCACAGTAGTTTAAACGATCAAATCATTAGGCACCGCAAAAAATGACTACCTCGAAATCGTCCCACTATTCATGTTGAATAAGTGAATCTTTCAATTTGAAACAAGCAAGCTGCTAAATCGTCCAGTCTTACATCACAAAATAAACGCTGACTGTTCTATCAATCTAAGCAACCCATAACCATAGTCGAACTACAATCAGAAAACCAAGATTTTAGTCAGTAATGCAGAACCTATGCTTTACTGAAATGACAAGTAAATCCTCCTTTATTCCAATTATAATGATCTGTAGTCTTAACATCTGTCACATAACACAATTATCAGAAAATAGCTTTACAGGACAAAGACCTCACAAGCTCGAAGGGAATGAATTAGCAGTCAACGAGTGTCACGATCGTCTTGAAAAGTAGCGGGCCAAGGCGCAGCGTGAGATGCGTACATATTTATTTTATTGTACACCACAGCGAACACAACACCAAACGAAACGTGAAGTCCTTCGACACAAACACAAATCAATAGGAACAAGAAACCACAAACACAAAGTGAACGACAGACAGTTAAATATGGCTCCCAATCAGAGACAACCAGCTGACACTCGTTGCCTCTGATTGGGAGTCACTCAAGCCAACCTAGAAATACAAACATAGAATATAACACCCTGGCTCAACATACGAGAGTCCCCAGAGCCAGGGCGTGACAACGAGTCAAATCTTCATTCATTGATTTTGAAACAGATCTAACGAGTTTAATCAAATGGATTATGTTTTTCCCCTACAACATACTAAAATTCCTTTACTATATCACCTCTGCTCCGAAATTATAGATAGTTATTATAATGCTTAATCTTATTTCTATCAAATGATCTGTGTACTGTCTCTCACCCCTCACGTACATCTACGTTTTGGGTGCGCAAGTCAGTACCTATAAATTATTCCACTTATTACTTTATCCAAACTCCAGTAATCAATTACAAGCACACAAAATTCATCATATTTTAATATATTCATATCAACCAAACCATTCATATTTCTAATGATTCTTTATTATCACAAGTCAGTTTATCATAATCGACTTCCAGTGGAACAACAACTTTAACTACCCAGACCCTTCCCCCCAGTCATAGAATCCTCCCAGAATCTTATAGACTGGTCACTATTCACTGATCTTACAATATTCTATGACAGGCAGTGTTGTACGAAACCCCCAGATATCATTATATCAAAATAATATTATCCAAACGTATATAAAATTATCATACACACCTCTATATCTCATCATTCAAACTTGAGATTGCGACTCATTTTCCACATTTATACCATTCTCATATCCCATTCACACAATGTTGTTCTCAAACACGCTTAATCACTATTTGTATAACCTATAGGAATAATTTCTTCTATAAAAGGGCCCAAATTTGGAATGTTAACCCTATCACATTTATCATTTTACTGTGGTCAATTTTATCATAATCCTACATCACTTCTAAATTTCCAAATATAATGTCCAAAACACCCTAAAAGATTGGCCGAAATACAATATAGACGTCATACAACAACACCGGTACACGTGACCTGTTCCTCCAACAGGATTTATCCTACCCCTCCTGGTAACGTGAAATTTCCACACTCAGTTGGTCAATGAATATCCACATACCATTTATTCTTCCCTTCCTAATGCAAGATTGGGCACGCCCTTTCTCCACCAGACATAGAAGTTGCAAGCAACCTCAAATATAGTCCCTTTCCTGACACTCCCTCAACACAGAAAAGGCTATTATTTGCAGGATTTCTTATTATTGTCCGATCACTCACACAGATGAGCACCCACTCGTGCTTAAATGAATCAGACAGAATGACCAGCAGGGCGAACAAATTAATCAGACGAATTGAACAAATACATCAGATGAACAACTGAGTAAATTAGACAGATTGAATGCACGAATTGAGTCAGACCAGTGGACAAAGATGAAAGAGTTGCTTTCGCAAACCCAAGCAGGTCCAACAAACCAGTCTTGTACAAAACGAGTCAGACAAAACAATCAAACCAAACAAATTGATCAAGCTGACCAAATGAGCAACTTGAATTAGACAGAACTTAATCACAATTGAATGAATCACAGCCGCTCAAGCAAACCATTCACCCATACGAGATGAGCAGACCTACTCTATTTAACATTTCTCTATATTTTGAAGCCCTAGTGGCTATTTCACACCCGTTCACCTACTCTGGATGACTAGCGCTACTTCCAATTTATGGTGTCACCTACTCAGGATGACCTACTTTTTTACCCGATTGGCCCTGTCTAATTATTGCATCACCACAGGATGATGCATCCCCTACCCGAGCAGCCTCTAACACTGAAATCCACGTTAGAGCGGTAACCATAGGCACTCTTGGCTAGCCACCTGCCCGTTCAGCCCTCTGGAGTGCTCTCCAAAGCGGTACCCACAGGATTTAACTTATTTGTAATTACCAACAATATTCAACAATCAAAAACATTGCATGCATGCTTATTTCTCATTCCAACAAAAACTCTGTACTTTTCCTAAATGTAGTCCTTAATACTGGAGAGACCCCTCCCGTACCTGACCCTCAGATTCAGCATGATCGAATCACACAATTTCTATGTTAAAAGTAAGAACGTCACTTAACTCTATTAACAGTGGCCACTGTATTTTTGTGTGTGATTCGTCCAAATGTTCTCCGATGGCGCAGTACCCCAAAGGTCTATGAAAATGTATGCACTCACTAACTGTAAGTCGCTCTGGATAAGAGCGTCTGCTAAATGACTAAAATGTAAATGTAAAATGTCTATTTCCAGTCCCGTCTGGGGTGCAAATTATGTCATGGATAATTATCACTATACTTACTACAAATCAAAGTTCTTCCATAGTTTTTGTAGAATCAAGATAGACTTTATTACATAGAGCAACAAAAGCCGATCTGGTCTGCAGAGCGACTAACTCACAACACTTGGCCCTCAGTTTATATACAATGTCCAAGACGGTTGGAAAAGCATTCCAGGTGAAGCTGGTTGATATAATGGCAAGAGTGTGCAAAGCTGTCATCAAGGCAAAGGGTGGCTATTTGAAGAATCTCAAATATAAAATATATTTTGATTTGTTTAACACTTTTTTGGTTACTACATGATTCCATGTGTGTTATTTCATAGTTTTGATGTCTTCACTATTATTCTATAATGTAGAAAATAGTAAAACCCTTGAATGAATAGTGTGTCCACACTTTGGACTGGTAGTGTATTTCTGTGGGTAGGCCTACAACTGATCTTACAGTAGTCAATCGATTTGCCTCGGGCTGGAACGCACCCAAATACATTTCTGCGCAAAGGCTTCTCAAGTTGATGTTGGTGAAGAATTCTACGCTGTCTATACCCAAAACAGACCCTGTGTTGACGGAAAACTAGCCAGCAGTTAGCCAGCAAGCTAGCTAGGTAAGCAATTACTTATGTTTTGCTTGTGCTATACATAACATAGCCAAAACACCAAAGTAAAAGCGTAAGTTAGATAGCTATTTGTATGGTTTGCTATGCTCTCATTCGTGGTGTCCTTCCACTTCAACCTGGCGCGTTAGCATGCCTTTTCTAGCAGCTAGTTTTTAACTAGCTGCTGTACAGTAGATAACTCGCAAGCAAACGGCGTTTGTCCAGCTTGCAAAGCCATTGTATTGTCCATGTAATTCAAATACCTAGCAGTTTGGTATGTTGCAAATATGTTTAATAAATTAGCTAGCTAGTAGCTAACGTTGACATTTTGAGCTAACTGTAGGTAGCTAGCTAACGTTCGTAGTAGCTGTATAGCTAGCTATCTTATCTAGCTGCCCATATGACACCTTGCAAATTGTACTGCATGCTTTAGTTAGCGCGGTAGATGTCTAGCTCTGGCCTAGTTATCTAGACAGTAGCCAACTAAACTCCACGATTTACGATGGAGTTGGGCAGCGATCGTATATCGTGGAATTTATTTTAATCGGCAAGCTAGACAGTAAACTAACAATTGCAAGCTGCGTGGTGGGTTATATAGCCGACATCTGTTTGTGTTGCTAGCTAGCTTGCACATTTATTATGCTATCTACAGGTCTGGCTCCCCAATGGTTATCATGTCTGGCACAGCCACTGTGCTGCAACAATTTGTCAGTGGCCTGAAGAGTCGAAATGAAGACACAAGAGCAAAATCTGCGAAAGATCTCCAGCACTATGTGACGACAGAGCTCAGAGAGGTACTACTAGCTAGTTACAGTCTGAACTGTACTGTAGCAGCAACGCTTGCATAACAATGCAACACTTTCACAAACTCTCCTTATTTAACTACACACTCTCTCTGGAATGTTTTATGTTTCCTACAACATCATTGTCATACCTTTAGTCTACCTGTGCCTCTTGTTATTGGCTACTATGAACAGTCATGAGTTACATGCAGTCAGTGGGGTTTATCCAGTATGGTTTTGTCTGATTGTGATGTGTACCTGCATTCTGTCCTAAGTTGAGCCAAGATGAAGCCACCACTTTCTACGATGAACTGAATCATCATATTTTTGAGCTGGTTTCCAGCTCCGATGTGAATGAGAAAAAAGGAGGGATTCTTGCTATAGGTAAGTCAGATGATTTGCCTCAACAATGACAAAACTTGGCACAAATTAATTGCAAGGTCTAAGACACTAAATAAAGCTTTGTTCCATTTGTTGGGAGTTTACATTACTCCTGTCTACACACAAATGAAGCTGACCCAATCCATGTCACTGACTCGTCTATTTGCTCCAGTGAGTCTGATTGGAGTTGAAGGAGGCAATGCCACCCGAATCAGCCGCTTCGCCAACTACCTCCGCAACCTGCTGCCCTCCAGTGACTCGGTGGTCATGGAGATGGCCTCCAAGGCCATGGGCCACCTGTCCATGGCGGGGGACACCTTCACCGCCGAGTATGTGGAGTTTGAGGTGAAGAGGGCACTGGAGTGGCTGGGCGCCGACAGGAACGAGGGAAGGCGCCATGCTGCGGTTAGTGTGACACACACAGCTAGCCTGCTGTTTGTTTTGTCAACCACTATAGGATGAAACTGCAGGTGGTTGCATTTTCTACCAATGTGGGCTAAAGCACTTATCAGGACAAGCCCACAGCCTTGCTCTGCTTTAGGGGCTAGCATAGTGGCTTCTAGCTTAACTACCCCTTTCACCATCCCTAATAACTATTAATGATGGTGAAAGGAGTAGTAATAACACTGTTAGAACCGTTTTTTTTGTTGCTTTCCTTTCAGTAAAAAGCTTTTAATTTCATATGTAAACCAGCACAAGATGAGGACTATGAGTTTGAAAATGTCCCCTTTTTTTATTCTTACTTTACAGGTTCTTGTCCTAAGGGAGTTGGCCGTCAGCGCACCCACCTTTTTCTTCCAGCAAGTCCAGCCCTTTTTCGACAACATCTTCTATGCGGTGTGGGACCAGAAGCAGGCCATCCGCGAAGGGGCTGTGGCCGCTCTAAGGGCCTGCCTCATCCTCACCACCCAACGAGAGACCAAGGAGATGCAGAAACCACAGTGGTACAAAGTAGGTCCCTCACAATCAATATCTAATTTGTTTAACATTTTCTAAAACCATAGTGGTACAAAGTATGTCACTCACAATCAACATTTGAATAGTTATTTTCTTCATATCATGAGCCATCATTTTAACATATTTCACCCAGTTGCAATGAAAGCACTCATTATTTGTTTTATGTGTGTCCTTCACCACAGCAAACCTTTGAGGAGGCTGAGAAAGGCTTTGATGAGACCTTGTCCAAAGAGAAGGGTATGAACCGTGACGATAGGGTCCACGGCGCCCTCCTCATCCTCAACGAACTGGTCCGCATCAGCAGTATGGAAGGAGAGGTGAGCCCCTCTCTGAACCACAAAGCACAAGCACTACAGGTCACAGAGGACAACAACCTTGTCCATTGCTTCCCATGGCCAAAAGAATGAGCAACTCATAGGCCCTAAACCTTTGGTCACGGAAGTGGTAAATAATATGGTGATGGCTTTACTGCATCAGGCTCAAGAGAGCTTCTGCCATGTGCTCATACATATCCAGTTTATTCAGATCTGCAAACTCTGAACAAACACTGCCTAGGGGAAGCATAGCACCTATGTATTGCTTTCAGACTGTGTCTCAACGTCCTCTTAATGTCTTCTTCCCTGGCAGCGCATGCGGGAGGAGATGGAGGAGATCACCCAGCAGCAGCTGGTCCACGACAAGTACTGCAAGGAGCTGATGGGCTTCGGCACCAAGCCACGTCACATCACCCCCTTCACTAGCTTTCAGTCGGTGCAGCCGCAGCAGTCCAATGCGCTGCTGGGCCTCCTGGGCTACAGCACACCCCAGGGCTTCCTCAGCTTCGGGGCCACGCCGGTGCCCGCCAAGAGCTCCCTGGTGGAGAGCCGCTACTGCCGCGAGCTCATGGAGGAGCGCTTTGACCAGGTGCCGTTATTCTTTTGTACTTCCTAGTGGAGGGTTGAAAACCCACTTTGAGGGTTGAGTCCTGACAGATCTCAGGTTCTCAATCTGAGGTCTGTGAAGGGGAACTAGTCGCTTGGATGTTGCTGACCGTTCCCTCAGATAGTTGTCGGACTCTGACACCTATTTAGTCAGTGTTCAAGGGTTCGTTTCAGTGTTCTGTAAGTGGTGGAGAACCATAGCTTGCCAGTTGTTGATACAAAAAATGAACACTGGTGTAGCACATACTTTTATATGCCAGAGGCTGCGTTTGCACAGGCAGCCCAGTTTTGATTTTTTGCCCAATTATGAGCAAAAGATCTGATCTGAAAAGTCAAATGAGTGGCAACAAATTTGGAGTTAGGCTGCCTGTGTAACTAGCCTGAGGTTTGAGTTGTGTCGGATGTAACGACAGCTGCTGTGTGTGTCTTCCTCAGGTGTGCCGCTGGGTGCTGAAGTACAGGACCAGCAAGAACCCTCTGATCCAGATGACCATTCTCAACCTTCTGCCGCGCCTCGCCGCTTTCCAGCCACACACCTTTACAGGTCAGAAAGGAGCCTCACATGCAGTATCCCTGCTAGATATGGATCCAATATTTTTTTAAGCGCTTGATTTTGAAACTAGATTAGTCAGGCTAACAAAGTTGAAGTGAATCAATTTACCTGTATGAAACATTTTGAGAGAGATGCATGATTGAATTCTGTTATTAAGTCATATTTCCTCATTTAGAAAAAGTATTGGTGGCTGCTCAAGTTAAAAATAGGCTTTAATACTTTGAAAGAAAGTTGTGTTCATTCTTAAAATAAAAGGTTATACCATTCACTGGTTTTATACCATTAGATAATTTATTTGCGTGTGGATGTTCGTAATTTCTCTCGATTCTAACTTTTCTCGACTTTGACCAGTTGAAGTTTGCCCCCTCCCAGACCAGTACCTCGCCGACACAATGGGCTACCTGCTTGGCTGTCTGAAGAAGGAGAAGGAGCGCACGGCGGCCTTCCAGGCCCTGGGGCTGCTGGTGGTGGCAGTGCGCACTGAGATCCAGCCCTACCTCACCAAGATTCTGGAGATCATCAAGGCTGCGCTGCCCCCCAAGGACTTCGCTCACAAGTAAATTAGATTGACTTTATAGAAGTGACTTTGTTTCTGAAGTGATGTTCATACTCAAATCACTGAAATGTCCCCCTGAAATCGGTGTTATAGTTTAGTTGATTCATACTTGAAAAAGGGTTAAAGTTTGAAATTCGTCATGTAAAGATAATACAGATCAATATATACTGTGTGCTGAACTTTATTTTTCTAACACGTGTGTGTGTAGGAGACAGAAGACCATGCAGGTGGATGCCACAGTGTTCACCTGTATCAGTATGCTGTCCAGAGCCATGGGCCCCAGCATCCAGCAGGACATCAAGGAGCTGCTGGAGCCCATGCTGGCCGTGGGACTCAGGTAGAGCTCATGACTACACCTCTCATTCCCATCCATTGTTCTCCATGCTTTGTGTAGGCAGGACTGGCCTCCGTATCCCAAATATCCATCCAAAAGAGGAAAGTGTTGCTGCCCGACAGATGCCAGGCAGATGTGGATGTGGCTTTGAGGCCTTGTGTGTGTGTGTGTGTGTTTGTGGAAAAGATGACAGACCTGGATGTGGTATTGAGTGTATTTTGTGTATGCTTTGGATGTGTGCCTGCCTATACGTGAGCACTTCCTGGTATGATGAAATGTCTCCATAACAATCCACCATTGTCTCCTCCTGTAGCCCGGCCCTGACGGCAGTGCTCTACGACCTGAGTAGGCAGATCCCCCAGCTAAAGAAAGACATCCAGGACGGCCTGCTGAAGATGCTCTCCCTGGTGCTCATGCACAAGCCCCTGCGCCACCCGGGCATGCCCAAGGGCCTGGCGCAACAGCTGGCATCGCCCAGCCTCACCAACATCCCAGAGGCCAGCGACGTGGGCAGCATCACCCTGGCACTCAGGACACTGGGCAGCTTTGAGTTTGAAGGTGAGATGCTTTAAGGCCACTACTGAGAAGAATGCATGTTGAATGTTAAAATGATTTTATTGAAGCTATTCTCTCTCAGTGCAATGTTAATCTAGCATTTGCTTGAAGTGGCTCCACAAGGGAACGTACGTTCAGTATCAAATGGTCCAATAATCAGTGACTTTAACTGGAGGTTTGAAACATAACATTTTCCCTTTTGATGTCATTGGGCCAAGTGAGCAGCAACACTGAACGTCTCCCTCCTGAGTACAAGTACTGCCTGTGGTCAACTTGTCACTGTAAGTTAGCTCGCTAAGCTAGCTAGCAACATTAGCTTACCTGGCTAGTTGTAACAGCATAAGCAGCTGAATTAGCTATCAAGCCATCGTTTCCCCTTCTGCAAATAAAATGTGAAGGTGAGGAGGCTGCAGCTACAATGACACGTTCGCTAACAACGTTATCAGTGACAGCTGCTGTGTACATTAGTGACCTCCCTCCATTTCCCAGTCTGCTTTCTTCCATTTGGTGCCAAAGGAATTAGACCCTGACTTTCTCACCTCTCCTTCCTGTCCACAGGCCACTCGCTGACCCAGTTTGTGCGCCACTGCGCCGACCACTTCCTCAACAGCGAGCACAAGGAGATCCGCATGGAGGCGGCGCGCACCTGCTCCCGCCTGCTGACGCCCTCCATCCACCTGATCACCGGCCATGGCCACGTGGTCAGCCAGACGGCCGTGCAGGTGGTGGCCGACGTGCTCAGCAAGCTGCTGGTAGTGGGCATCACAGATCCAGGTTGGTTGTAAGGGTGTTGGTGGTGGTGATGATGATAGGTTCAAATAGCCAGAATGCCTAGGCACTCATGGGTTCGCTACTTTTCCCCCAACCCGTTTAGTATTTTGTCACTTTATTTAGACAGCTTGAAAGGAGATAGGATACAGAGAAAGGAAAACAGCATGAGTCTCACCCTCTCTCTCTTCTCTCTTTCTGTCCCTACCTACTTACCTCCCCCCTCAGACCCAGATATCCGCTACTGTGTGCTGGCCTCTCTGGACGAGCGCTTCGACGCCCACTTGGCGCAGGCGGAGAACCTGCAGGCGCTGTTTGTGGCGCTGAACGACGAGGTGTTTGAGATCAGGGAACTGGCCATCTGCACCATCGGACGCCTCAGCAGTATGAACCCCGCCTTCGTCATGCCCTTCCTGCGCAAGATGCTCATCCAGGTAACACAAGCAGTAGACTTGTCTTATTTGAGTCATTTTACCCATTTACCAGATAAGTTGAATGAGAACAGAATCTAATTTACAGAAACTATAAACAGAAATTACTTATTTCACATGTAGGTTATTTTGTGTATTTCTGTGCAAGATGTATTGAAAGACAACAAAAGGCATGTCAGAAAAACCCACATAGCTTGGTGTTAAAGGGAATACTTGGCAATGACTGGAAGTCTTTGGGTGTCTAGAATGTTAGTAGATACCCATAGACTTGTGCTAACGCTAGTTAGCATTGGCTCGCGAAACTACCTCTAACTTCCTTCATACTGGAAACAGAGACATAAAAATGTGTTCATCTGACTCTGGGGGAGTAGATAAAATCCTGAAGTATCCCTTTAAATAATATGTTGTTTTCATCTGTTGTTGGTATAATGTAGCTTTGTGTGTTTTACCCGAGATGCTAGTAATTCCTGGGTGAGTGTAAGTGGTGGACCTGCCATTTCAATAACACACCAGCAGATGGTAGCCAAGTTAATGTTTCACGATGTGGCTTCAATTACAAATGTCAGACTATGTTGAACTATGCTAAACTATGGTGTGGGTTTTTCTACCTTTTTGAAAGGAATTGGCATTGCAATCGCATTTAGTTTTTAAACAGGATGTTTTATTCATTAATTCAAGTTAAACACATCTATTTCCTTCATCATAATGGCTGCTAAACTATGGTGTGTGTTTCTGCCTGTTCCAGATTCTGACTGAGCTGGAACACAGTGGCGTGGGCAGGAACAAGGAGCAGAGTGCCCGCATGCTGGGTCACCTGGTGTCCAACGCCCCCCGCCTCATACGCCCATACATGGAGCCCATCCTAAAGGTACCTACCATAACGTAACGTCTTTGTAACGTGTTACAACATATTTGTGACAACTATGTAACTTACTGAAAGTAAGATACTGGATATATAGATTCCAACCTAAATGTACTGCTGTCAGAAGTGCCCCTAAGCATCCTGTAATATCTTGAGAATATTTTCCTAATTCAAATTAACGTACTTTTAAATTAACCATTTATTTGTATTAGAAATGATTCAAATGATTCAATTTACTGTTGGCTCTAAGCTCCTCTTCTCTTCTGTTTCAGGCCCTGATCCTGAAGCTTAAAGACCCAGACCCCAACCCTGGGGTGGTCATCAGCGTCCTGGCCACTATTGGAGAGTTGGCTCAGGTAAGGATCCCTTTTTAACCCTGTGACCCTACCAGTAAATGCTAGTGACATTCAGTGTATCGTTTTTCAATGTTTAGTGTATTCTACACTCTTGTATTTTATGTGCCTATGTATTCTCTATGCCTTTGTGTCTGCACAATTTACCTGTGTCTGCCGATGGTGGCCAACTTAACTTTCTCCTATGGGAATCAACCATGTATATCCCATTCATTTCAGTAGTGTTCACTGTGCCTGCTCACTCTCTCTGCTCAGGTGAACTGCTGGACTCCCCAGAAGGTTGAGGAAGTGAGAGTTGTTAGGGGCAGGCTGGCCCTGCAGCGCAGAGGGAGTGCAGGAGATGCCAGAGTAGGGCTGATGACAGTTTGTGCTGAGGCAGTGCCAGGACAGGTAGAGACCATCAGGTTCCCCCAAAGAGCCAGTCTGAGGAAAAAGACTGAACAGGATTGTGTGAATTCTCAATATGTTAGGGTCGTGTTCAGTAGGGCACACCATAGCAAAATGTATTGAAACAGAAAAGAAAACCAAGTGTGTCTTATTGGACAAGTTCAGATCAAGTATGTGTATAAACCCTGGATGACTGACAGGGGGTGCTGTATTGAAGCCACTGCGCAGCCATGTTGGTACTCCTCCATCATGGGGCACTCTGTTCATAATGTTGACATCAGCAAACCGCTCGCCCACACAACGCCATACACGTGGTCTGCGGCTGTGAGGCCAGTTGGACGTACTGCCAAATTTGCCAAAACGACAATGGAGGCGGCTTATGGTAGAGAAATTAATATTACATTTTCAGGCAATATCTCAGGTGGACATTCCTGCAGTCAGCATGCCAATTGCATGCTCCCTCAACTTGAGACATCTGTGGCATTGTGTTGTGTGACAAAACTGCACATTTTTGTGGCCTTTTATTGTCCCCAGTACAAGGTGCACCTGTGTAATGATCATGTTTTTTAGTCAGCTTCTTGATATGCCACACCTGCTCACTAAGAGGGATGTAAACAGATTTGTACACAACATTTGAGAGAAATAAGGTTTTTGTGCGATTGGAAAACTTCTGTGATCTTTTATTTAATCTCATGAAACATGGGACCAACACTTTACATGTTGTGTTTATATTTTTGTTCCGTGTATATTATGTGAGCTAAACATGAAAATATAAAAACATTTTCCTTAAAGTATTTTCTTTAGAAAGTATGTACTAATGTTACTGTCCCCACTACAACAAAAAATACTTAAATACATGTCATTTTGTCCTTGAAACATTGAATTGAAATTCCATTTGGAGGACTGCTCCTACTGGGGAGTGCCAATATGGCTGACCGGTGGCTTCAAAGCCTCTCAATCACAGGAGGTTGGTGGTACTTTAATTGGGGAGAACGGGCTAATTAAAATACTGTAGAATTCCATTCATTCCTATGGAGGACTGCTCCTACTTGTGAGTGCCAATATGACTGACCGGTGGCTTCAAAGCCTCTCAATGGCCAATACATAGTGTCAGCAATCCAGGGTTTATATACATCATTGGTTCAGATGGTGCCTCCCCGTTTCAAAATGTTTTCTCCCTACTGAACACAACCCATGGCCAGGCTACGACAGTGGTAAACATCCAAGAGTACGTGTATAGTGTAGTGTATAAACTGGATTACGTAAGGAATATGCAAAGGATTTGTGAATTGTGAATATTACAAGCTGAGTGGATCAAAACTGAAATACGAGACTGAGTACAGTAAGTTGTGAATCTGATAGGTGAAGTGAAATGCGGGGTTACTATAGATTAGATATACAAGGATAGCTGGGAGACATAACAGTAGGCCTCTTTGCACCAGAGAGGTGAGTTCTGATTGGTTGTTGTCACGGCCCGCCAGGTGAGCGGGCTGGAGATGAGGAAGTGGATGGACGAGCTCTTCCCCATCATCATGGACATGCTCCAGGACTCCTCCTCATTGGCCAAGAGACAGGTATATATGCACGATTTTATAGGTACAACTTTGGGAGGTGACAGGCTTGTTCACCAAGTATCATTGATATCTTCAATTGCAAGCCTTTCCCCCAAGCATGTCTGGTCATGTCCAAGTGTTAATATTAAATGTCCCTGCTTTCAAAAGGACTATTTTGTATTTTCCATACAATCCATATCTTTATACATGTTATGGTACTATTTGCCATCAGAGTCTTTGTGATTTGATTACATTGTCGTGGTAGTAACACATCTCGTTTCCACCAGGTGGCGCTGTGGACTTTGGGCCAGCAGGTTGCTAGCACGGGATACGTGGTGGAGCCCTACCGCAAGTACCCCTCTCTTCTGGAGGTGCTGCTCAACTTCCTCAAGACGGAGCAGAACCAGGGTATCAGAAGAGAGGTACCATTCATTATCCATTTGGGCTTTTCCCCTCACAGTTTTATAGTTGCAATGATTAAACTGGTAACACCTTGAATTACATCTCAGAATGACACTTCTTGTTAAGAATTATATGGAATTACGCTTTATAAGGTTAGCTTTTCCAAAACCTCGTGCCCTGATGTAAGTGATGTGTAAACTTTTCTCCCCCACCTCACGTTTCACTGTTATGTCACATGTGCTGTCTATTGACATACATAATATGTTCCATTTAATTATGTTGCTTTGTCTGCCAGGCTATCCGTGTACTGGGCTTGCTGGGAGCCCTGGACCCCTACAAGCACAAGGTGAACATCGGCATGATCGACCAGTCACGAGACGCCTCTGCCGTCAGCCTCTCCGAGTCCAAGTCCAGCCAGGACTCTGGTGAGCACCCACCGCCATTTTCAACACCTCTCTCACATGCACACGCACTCTCACACACACATACACACACACCTGACATGTGGCTGCCTCTCCCCAGAGTGGATTAGCAGTGGAAAACATTGCGTTTATACACAAATACGTGCAAATATTCACATATGCACACTAGCTTTTGTGTTGGTGGCTGGAGTTCACCGCGGTGTTACCGCTACACTAGAGAAAAGTTATTTACGTTTTCAATTACAAAAGGTGCTGGTTCTGGCTGCCACGAGTACCCAGTCTCAGCTATGAGTTAAGCCAACAAAGGGCCATATCCACTGACTGACTTTGTCACTGGAGGCTGCTGCTTATAGGGCATCGCTTAGGCCTAGCAATGTCAACAGAATGAATGTATTGGTTGGCTTTACAACCTGCCCATGTGTCTTTGTATGTCTGCACACTTTCTGTCTGAACCAAAACATCCAACACAGGGAGGCTGACCTCAGTTCAGACAGAAAATGATCAAGCTAAGTGCTTTGGGACCTGTTGAAGTAGGGATATCTGCCCCCCCCCCCCAAAAAAAAAATGCAGCGTCATACAATATAATACAGTTGAGTCATCATCTTATAGTCATTGTAAAATCATTTACAATGCTTCATTAACAAGTGTAGTAGACTACTGAGATGGTATTCAATAAATAAGTTGGTACATGTAACATGTCCAAGCAGGAAATATTTGGATATGCAACCTAATCCAGTGATTGTCATGAATTTTGGGTTGACAATTAGGCAATTTCTTTTGCTATATTTTACTGTCAAAATAGGGCTCAGAATTTTCAGATTTTTTTGTTCAATAGAGATGAATTTGTCTTAATCTTTATGTGCACTAATATTATATACAGGCCTAATTCAATTGGTGCTAGATCGCTAACTAAATATAACACCTACTGCTAGTAACCATGTATGAATCTAACAGTAAATGAATTGTCCTAAAAAAACTTTGCAATGAGCCCTAGTGCACTTGAGATGGCCGATGCGCAATGTCGCGCGCTCCGTATTTCAAAGCCATATCAGATATCATGATTGTAAAACTGTGTGCTTTGAGCTCGATAATTATACCTACAGAAAGCTGAGAGACTCCTCTCTTTTAATATGGACAACTAGTCTCTTCCAGAGCAGTTTTTCCCCCGCAATTGTATTTTGAAATGTTATACAATCACAAGGGGCACTAAAGGGGAGACCGAGCGTGTGAGAGGCTCGTTCTTTACAGCAGCTGACCACAGCGAAACAGGCAGGCACAGTGGATAATGAGGATAATGCACTTTACTGTTTAACAAATTCATGGTTTTATCCAGCAAAAAAATAGGACGTTTTGATTGAGTTGACCAGGTAGAATGTGCAGCTTGCACCAGTGCGAAAAATAAAAAATGTAACTTCCACAGCCAAGTTAAAAGGTCGCAAAATGTGACTAAATGGTCGCAGTCTGGAGCCCTGCTCATCAAAACTGACCCACATATTAGACCCTAAGGCTTGGAGTCCACCAGGCGTCAGCCTACACAACAGAGACTTTACCGTAAATCCTGATGTATATGACTTTGTAATGATTTTAGAGGAATTTGGTTGATTTTTATATGACCTAACGGTCCACGCACTGGCGAGACCAACGCCTTGACGTCATTTTGGTCACAGGATTAGGCTACACCGTCCACTGGAGATTACAAGTGAACGTTTTGCTCATATTTATGTATATTACATTTGTACATTATATCCATACCATAAATCACTAATCTTTCTCATGAATGCAGGTAGGGATTTTATTCCGTGTTTTAGACTGGGTCCCCGAGGCATATTCATGCTTTGACAGAGTCCTCGAAGATATTTCCATGTTAATGTCAAATTACATCATTGAGTTCACACAAGGCTACACATCTGATAATACAATGTGCAGTCTCCTGTGGCGCTATCTTTTTCGTCAGTCCAGAGAAAAACAGCTTGCAAAAATGACAGAATGAAGAAAAATTAAAATCCAACATTGAGCAACTTTTAAACAACTTTGTCATATGTGAATCAATTTACCAGAAGCATTGTAAGAAAATGCATGGAAAATGTCAATAAGGAGCTACGCTGTGACTGCTCTGTGGAAGGTAATAGCTTTAGCAGTTTGGCCTGCTAATGTGGCTCAGTCTGGAATTGAAGCTATCTCTCTCCAAGGTAGGATATGGTTAAAGTCAGGGTCAGTGTCTGGAGCAGCAATAGGACGCGTTCCACAGCTAAGGCGCGGCGACGCAACAACCAATGGTTGCTTTCCACGTCATCGACTGACAAATTGCTATAACATTTGATATGGTTAGCTGATACTTAAAATACCTACAGTTGAAGTCGGAAGTTTACATACACCTTAGCCAAATACATTTAAACTCAGTTTTTCACAATTCCTGACATTTTAATCCTAGTAAAAATTCCCTGTCTTAGGTCAGTTAGATCACCACTTTATTTTAAGTATGTGAAATGTCAGAATAATAGTAGAGAGAACGATTTATTTCAGCTTTTATTTCTTTCATCACATTCCCAGTGGGTCAGAAGTTTACATACACTCAATTAGTATTTGGTAGCATTGCCTTTAAATTGTTTAACTTGGGTCAAACGTTTTGGGTAGCCTTCAATAAGCTTCCCACAATAAGTTGGGTGAATTTTGGCCCATTCCTCCTGACAGAGCTGGTGGAACTGAGTCAGGTTTGTAGGCCTCCTTGCTCGCACACGCTTTTTCAGTTCTGCCCACTAATTTGCTATAGGATTGAGGTCAGGGCTTTGTGATGGCCACTCCAGTACGTTGACTTTGTTGTCCTTAAGCCATTTTGCCACAACTTTGGAAGTATGCTTGGGGTCATTGTCCATTTGGAAGACCCATTTGCGACCAAGCTTTAACTTCCTGACTGATGTCTTGAGATGTTGCTTCAATAAATCCACATCATTTTCCTTCCTCATGATGCCATCTATTTTGTGAAGTGCACCAGTCCCTCCTGCAGCAAAGCACCCCCACAGCATGATGCTGCCACCCCCGTGCTTCACAGGTGGGTTGGTGTTCTTCGGCTTGCAAGCATCCCCCTTTTTCCTCCAAACATAACAATGGTCATTATGGCCAAACAGTTCTATTTTTGTTTCATCAGACCAGAGGACATTTCTCCAAAAAGTACGATCTTTCTCCCCATGTGCAGTTGCAAACTGTAGTCTGGCTTTTTTATGGCGGTTCCTTGCTGAGCGGCCTTTCAGGTGATGTCGATATAGGACTCATTTTACTGTGGATATAGATACTTTTGTACCTGTTTCCTCCGGCATCTTCACAAGGTCCTTTGTTGTTCTGGGATTGATTTGCACCAAAGTACGTTAGAACGCGTCTCCTTCCTGAGCGGTATGACGGCTGCGTGGTCCCATGGTGTTTATACTTGCGTACTATTGTTTGTACAGATGAACGTGGTACCTTCAGGCGTTTGGAAATTGCTCCCAAGGATGAACCAGACTTGTGGAGGTCTACAATTCTTTTTCTGAGGTCTTGACTGATTTCTTTTGATTTTCCCATGATGTCAAGCAAAGAGGCACTGAGTTTGAAGGTAGGCCTTGAAATACATCCACAGGTACATCTCCAATTGACTCAAATTATGTAAATTAGCCTATCAGAAGCTTCTAGAGCCATGACATCCTTTTCTGGAATTTTCCAAGCTGTTTAAAGGCACAGTCAACTTAGTGTATGTAAACTTCTGACTTCAACTGTATCAAGGCATTGTATCTCAGTTGGTAGAGCATGACGCTTGCAACGCCAGGGTTGTGGGTTCATTTCCCACGGGGGGCCAGTATGAAAATGTATGCACTCACTAACTGTAAGTCGCTCTGGATAAGAGCGTCTGCTAAATGACAAAAAAATGTATATCTGTCAGGCGTCAGCAACTTCTAAGCTCTGGAATGCGGCCATAGTCTCTGGCAGCTGGCTGCTGCTGTGTACTTGGGAGTCCTGCATGTCCTGCTTAAGTGCTGGAAAGTAATTGGCAATGTCAGGGGTCTGTAACTTGTGGCTCCGGAGCCTCATGTGGCTCCGGAGCCTCATAGGGCTCCTTAGCTGTCCCTTTGTGACTCCAGTGGTGGGAAGTCATTAGCTAGGTGCTCCAGACCTCTCTTGAACACAACCACAACCCAGTGAATACAATGACCAAGTCAGGCCAAGGGAGTTGGACACCAAGGGCTCAAGAATGATAACGGTATAATGTAGTAGCATGCTCAGGGAGAGATCCGATTCAATGCTCCAGTCCCAACAGTACTCTGCACTCTCTGACGCTCTGTAACACACAAACCTATATCTGTTTTGTTTGGGGGTGAAAGTTGCTGATGTAATTGGTGCCAAGTCTCCATTGTTCTCTTCATGTTGTATTGGGCCTAGTAATGGCCCTATGTACTGCACGTGTGGCGATAGAGAAGCTGGCCTGTCCAAAGGAACACAGGCGTTCTGCCCAGGTGCCCACTTATTGTGTCTGGCTCTAGACTAGAGCGTTAAAGGGAGGGAAAAGGTATTAAGAAGTGTGGGACTTGCGTTAAGGGCTGAAACTCAACTCCTACGCTGAGCCAATGAAACATTGAATATCAGACATTTCTGTCTCCCTGACTCGCCCGTAAAACCAAACCCTGCTCACTGCAGCAGACAGGGTTGGCCTTGGTCACCTAGGGTCTTGTGATGCAATAATCCATGGCTTGTGAAACGCTCTGTCTTTGAACAAGTCAAACCTATTTTCAAAGGTTTGTAAACAAAATATCACCTTCAGGCTCATTAGTGCTTAGCGATTAGTGCTTTTTGAGGTCGGTTCATATAATTGAAAAAAATCAGTTTTCAATTTAATATAAATGTTTGAGGATACTTCAGTATTCTGGCAATGAAGCTCTTTATCTACTTCCCCAGAGTCAGATGAACTCGTGGATACCATTTTTATGTCTCTGCGTGCCGTTTGAAGGAAGTTGCTGACTAGCTTTAGCGCAATGACTGGAAGTCTGTGGTAACTGCTAGCATGCTAGTAGTTACCATAGACTTCCAGTCATTGCCTAACAGTAGTTTGCATTGGCTCGCAAAACTACCTCTAAATTCCTTTATACTGGATGCAGAGACATAAAAATGAGTTAATCTGACTCTGGGGAAGTACAGTACCTTCAAAAAGTATTTAGACACCTTGACTTTTTCCACATTTTGTTACATTACAGCCTTATTCTAAAATTGATTAAATAAATACAAATCCTCAGCAATCTACACATAATACCCCATAACGACAAAGCGAAAACAGGTTTTTAGAAATGTTAGCTAATTTTATAAAAATTCAAAACAGAAATACCTTATTTGCATAAGTATTCAGACCCTTTGCTATGAGACTCGAAATTGAACTCAGGTGCATCCTGTTTCCATTGATCATCCTTGAGTCCACCTGTGGTAAACATGATTTGGAAAGGCACACACCTGTCTATATAAGGTCCCACAGTTGACAGTGCATGTCAGAGCAAAAACCAAGCCATGAGGTCGAAGGAATTGTCCGTAGAGCTCCGAGACAGGATTGTGTCGAGGCACAGAATTGGGGAAGGGTACCAAAACATTTCTGCAGCATTGAATGTCCCCAAGAACACAGTGGCCTCCATCATTCTTAAATGGAATAAGTTTGGAAACACCTAGACTCTTCCTAGAGCTGGCTGCCCGGCCAAACTGAGCAATCGGGGGAGAAGGGCCTTGTTCAGGGAGGTGACCAAGAACCCGATGGTCACTTTGACAGAGCTCTGGAGTTCCTCTGTGGAGATGGGAGAACCTTCCACAAGGACAGCCATCTCTGCAGTACTCCACCAATCTCGCCTTTATGGTAGAGTGACCAGACAGAAGCCACTCCTCAGTAAAATGCATATGACAGCCTGCTTGGAGTTTGCCAAAAGGCACTTAAAAGACTCTCAGACCATGAGAAACAAGATTCTCTGGTCTGATGAAACCAAGATTGAACTCTTTGGCCTGACACCATCCCTACGGTGAAGCATGGTGGGGGCAGCGTAATGCTGTGGGGATATTTTTCAGCGGCAGGGACTGGGAGACTAGTCAGGATCGATGCAAAGATGAACGGAGCAAAATACAGAGAGCCTTGATGAAAACCTGCTCCAGAGCTCTCAGGATCTCAGATTGGGGCTACGGTTCACCTTCCAACATGACAACGACCCTAAGCACACAGCCAAGACAACGCAGGAGTGGCTTCAGGACAAGTCTCTGAATGTCCTTGAGTGGCCCAGCCAAAGCCCGGACTTGAACCCGATCGAGCATCTCTGGAGAGACCTGAAAATAGCTGTGCAGTGACGCTCCCCATCCAACCTGACAGAGCTTGAGAGGATCAGCAGAGAAGAATGGGAGAAACTCCCCAAATTCAGGTGTGTCAAGCTTGTAGCTTCTTACCCAAGATGATTCGAGGCTGTAATCGCTGCCAAAGGTGCTTCAACAAAGGTCTGAGTAAAGGGCTGTAGGCTGTAACCTACCAAAAGTGTATACTTTTAGAAGGCACTGTAGATAAATGGCTTCGTTGCCAGAATCCCATAATAATAATAATAATAATAATAATAATAATAATAATATGCCATTTAGCAGACGCTTTTATCCAAAGCGACTTAGTCATGTGTGCATACATTTTTACGTATGGGTGGTCCCGGGGATCGAACCCACTACCCTGGCGTTACAAGTGCCATGCTCTACCAATTGAGCTACAGAGGACCACAAGTATCCCTTTAAATGTATTATGAAATATGACCTTGAAATTATTTGAGCTTTTCATTTGAAATTGCGTAGCCAAATATTGAGACTTCAATTGCCAAAACATTGAAACCATTTCATTGTCTAACAACACAGAATAAAACAATTAATAAGAGTCCCATGACGGTAGTGACTGCCCGTTATTGTGTGCTTATCACCACGTCATGTTTGTTGATAACTGGGGTTGCAACATTTCTGGAACTTTCTGAAAATTGCCAGGTTTTCCAGAAATCCTGGTTGGAGGATTCTGGATTCCATGCATATTCCCTCCTGATTATATATATATCTTCCAACTGGGTTTTCTTTTAAACCTGGGAAAGTTACCGGAGTTTAGCAACCCTATTGACAACTCAATCAAATATTAACCCTGTTTGGATGTTGAGTTGGTCACAGTTGACAAAAGACACGTGGGCCCTAAGGGTATACATTTAAGCATTGCCATGGATTGACAACATACCTTGTCTTGGACACAGACACTGAACAGATACTTCACTGAGAACTCACCACAGAAGACATTAAGTATTGTGTTCTCCTGATGATGATCCATCTACTGATGGTGCAACTGCCTCAATTTGTAAAAGCATTACAAGAAAATGGGTGTGCAGCAGCTCCAGTAGTTGCCACAACATATTTAAACAGTTTGGAGAGGCTGAGAAACACGTCTAGTTATGTTGCCAGAAGATGTAAGGAAATAAGGGACAGATATGATCAACATGAAGATGGGCTGTACTACCTGACTACAACCAGCGGGACGGTCTACCAGACCTTCTGCGACATGACCACCACTGGCGGCGGCTGGACTCTTCTGGCGAGCGTGCACGAGAACAACATGTATGGGAAGTGCACGATGGGCGACCGTTGGTCCAGCCAGCAAGGCAGCAACCCCAACTGGCCAGACGGAGATGGGAACTGGGCCAACAGGGCCAGTTTTGGAACCGCAGAGGGCGCCACCTCGGACGACTTCAAGAATCCTGGGTATTATGACATTGTGGCAGAAGACATGTCGGTGTGGCACGTTCCCAACAACTCCCCTATGGAACACTGGAACCTAGCCGCCATCCTCCGCTACCACACTGAGAGACGCTTCCTTGCAGTCAAGGGGGAAATCTGCATCAACTCTTTAAGCTCTACCCAGTGAGATATAATGCTGGGGCAAGTGGGACCACAGGACTTGTCATTCCAATCGTGTACGACTTTGGGGATAAAGAAACCACAATAACATTTTACGGACCCAACACAAGAAACCAGTTTGAGCCTGGCTTCATCACTTTCAGGCCAATAAATAATGTACAGACAGCCATGGCTATCTGCTCTGGGGTCAAACCAACAAATGGCGGCGACACTGAACATTACTGTATTGGTGGTGGTGGACATTTCCCTGAGGCAGCGCCTCGTCAGTGTGGTGACTTCCCGGCCTTTGACTGGAATGGCTATGGAACCAACACAGTGTATCAAAGGAGATTACTGAAGCAGCTGTGTTACTCTTCTACCATTAAAATTCTTCCTATTGATTATCAATGCAATATATTACTCTAATTCGATTATTTAAAAAAATATATATTATTATCAAATATATGTAAAGATTAATTTAGTTTATACTGTTTGTATATAATAGACATAACAGAACTAGGATTTGCATTTGTTTAATCTATGAATGCCTTATCCCTGTAGTAAGATGGAATACATCCATCATAGTTTCTTTGTTTTTAAAATAGAAAGAGATTAGTATTATATCATTTTGTGAATATGAATGACTAAAATAAAGACTACTCTGAAGGAGAAATTGACAACAGTTGTGATTTCAATATGTTTCAATATGCATTGTCTGTAGGCATGAAAGACATGCCAAAGTTTAGAGTTCGGTGAACTTTACTGTGCGTTGTTCAGTGAGCTGTAGTACATTGTCAAGTCACTACCTCTGTTCCCTGTATAATGTCAATATTGCAATAAACATAACATGACAAAAAAACTAAAAAAGGTGTCCTGTATTATTCAAACGCAATGTTTATTTAACTGGCTACAACAAATACAGGCACTGTACCTTCACAAAAGGATGGTATGTTTCTCTCAGTGGCCTGAAAATAATTTTAAAGTAAAAAATTGTCATGTGTGATAGATTTATTTTCTCTCTCCCTCCCAGCCGACTACAGTACTAGTGAGATGCTGGTGAACATGGGCAACCTCCCCCTGGATGAGTTCTACCCGGCGGTGGCCATCGTGACGCTGATGCGCATCCTGCGTGACCCCTCCCTCTCTAACCACCACACCATGGTGGTGCAGGCAGTCACCTTCATCTTCAAGTCCCTGGGCCTCAAGTGTGTCCAGTTCCTGCCCCAGGTCATGCCCACCTTCCTCAACGTCATCCGCGTGTGTGACGCTAGCATCCGAGAGGTAACTAGCTAGTTACTGCTAGCCGGGAACTTTGTTGTGTTTCAGGATTTCTTCTTGTTGATTGGCACTTGTGGCTGTTAATTGTTGTGTATTTCTTTGTTTTAGCTGAAATTCTGTACTATCGCTAGTTGTTTTGGGAAATTATGGATTTTTAGAGGTAGCTAGGTAAAAGTCAGGGTAGCTGTAAAGTTAAAAAGGCTGTGCCATACATGTAAAGGTAACTAAAGATAGATCCTTTCCACTTCAGTGTTTTTACCTGCTTCTTTCCGAAGTTGTTTTGCACCAGGCCATTTTTATTACAACCACACGTTTTCAACTCCATAAATTCAACCTGGATCACGCTGTCAGGGGTTTGAAATCGGGATTCGAGATGCATGTAGCTAAAGCATTGACCCACGACCAGATAGTTTTGCTTACACCTGTTATTTTCTCTACCTCTCTTTCAGTTTCTCTTCCAGCAGATGGGGATGGTCGTGTGCTTTGTAAAAATCCACATCCGCCCCTACATGGATGACATCTTCACACTCATCAGAGTGAGTTGCCTCTTCAAAAACAAGGCCCCTTTTCTTTCTCTCTTTTTTCCACTGGCTCAGAAACAGCTGCAAACTCTTAATTGTGTACATTTCTCTCTCGACTTTCCTCTTTGGCGCTAATGCGTAAGGGGAAATGTGACTTGAGCGTGACTCTCTTACTGGCATGAAGCCTGTTTGTCCATCTAGAATGAAAGAGTTGCACCATTAAAAGCTGTTTGTTATGGAGAAACTATTTTGTTTGTATAAATGTTGTTCAGAAATAAGTATTTGGTAGTTTTCTCACAGTATTTATTTTACATTAAGTATTGCAATATTTTATTAAACTGCTCCACTCTACAGTGTCATTCCCTCCAATTGACTGAACTTCAATAGTGCGAAGAAAAAAGTACATGTGGAAAGTCCTACTGTGAAAGCAACTGTTAACCTACGAGCCCATTCATTCCATCCCGTTTGAGTAGGTTATTTTTTTTGTGGGGGGGATGATTATTATGGGTTAAAAAAACACTCCAGGCCACTCTTGAACGTCTAAAACTAGATAGAAAATATGTAGAAATTATAATGGACCTATATATTTTCAAATAACTGCCATTTTTCTCAGTTGAATTTCGAAAATTCCAACGGTCTAGCAGTACATACTCATATAGCCAGGAACAAAATATAAAATGTCCATTATTTACTGGAATCAAAATAACATTCTGAATCAGCAGTCAGTAACTTCTCCGGGAAACTGGGCCATTGCACATTTTAGCTGGAGTTAATAAATGGTGAGTAAAACAAAGGGCTCTATTCATTGTAGTAACTGTCTACCTCATGCGTCCAGATGAGGGGCTGGAATAGCCATTCGGGACTTCGGGAGGTGAAATCACATCATCTGCTGTAGGAATAGCAGCCCTAACTTAGGCTAGTTCCAGTCAGAGCAGGAAAGCGGGGGTTGGAACACTGGCCACTCGCAAAATGCCTCTATGAGCATTCATAGCTTAAGGATATTGGCCCTTCAATGTATTGCGTGACTACATTCCTTTACACCCCCATTATCTCCCAATCACCAGTGGCTGTGACAGATCTTAAGCCCTGTTTTTCATAATGGTGGCGGAGTCATTTTGAGGAAGGATGTCGAGTTGATTGACAGGAAATTGGCATCCCGCCACTGGCACGTGAGGACGTCGCATTGCATAGAGGAGGAATCTCCTTCTAAATCTTCCATCTCACTGATGGAAACACCATTTGACCCAGTTACCCCAGTGCCAGACCCTCACATCTCTCCTAATGTATGGCAATGGGACCGCATGAGGTAGTGCTTGGTCGCTAGCACTTTGGCCGTACCATCCAAAGCTCTTAAAAACCTGTACAAACCATAAAAAGGCCAAAACATAAGGACCTGGACTCATTATTTAGGAAAAACAAATTTCTCAATACGGGGGTAATGTCCCTCCATGGCTTAAGGGTGGAATCCTAACTTGAGAACCGTCTCCATTGGCGTCAATGAAGGATTTACGCCGAAGCTGTGCACTCAGATCTCAAGTCAGAATAATGCTTTACATTTTACATATGAGTCATTTAGCAGACACTCTTATCCAGAGCAAGTTACAATCAGTGTATTAAACTAAGGGAGGTATAACCACCACATATCACAGTCATTGCAAGTAACCACGTGTATTATTATCATTCCATAGGAGTACTGGACACCTAACAACCCCATGCAGAACACCATCATCCTGCTGATTGAACAGATCGTGGTGGCCCTGGGTGGGGAGTTCAAGCTCTACCTGCCGCAGCTCATCCCACACATGCTGCGTGTCTTCATGCACGATATGAGCATGGGCCGCGGGGTCACCATCAAGGTAAGGTCGTGAGGATGATGTCATCCTTTCTCAGGACCTACTTCCACACACGTCTGGGGGTTTGTTAGTACTCGTTTTGGTCAGAATTAGACCTTTTCCAAGAGAGTGTCAGCAGGCAGAACTGGTTGAAATGACATCATTTACCTCTGCACTTCTATATCGTTCCAGTTATTTTTGCCATTGTCCTAGCGAGCAATGACATAAATATCTGGACTGACATAGACCTACAGAGGTCACTTTTATCATTTTGGACTATGTAGTGTGTTTTATGTTCTCAGCACCACTTAGAGGAAATGTGCCGATGCGCTTGTTAAAACAGTATTTGTTCAAAAAGTATTTTCCTGTAACCAGTGACTACCACATCAACACACATTGTAATTGTACACCGTAAGTCATGGTTAGTCAAATATATGAGGACTTGAGGAACCGTTATATAAATTAAATCATTTATCGGTTCTTTAAAATCATAATCTACTGCACTACTGCCACAACATGGCCCCTTCAAAGTCCAGTTTACTTCCTGTTCTTCTAGGTACCATTTGTTTGTGGTTGCCATCAAAACTCACCCCATGACCCTTTTTTAGTCTAGCCAAAGCATAATCACTACAACAACCCAGCCAACGAAGCATAGCTGGTACTCTCTCATATTTCACCGATTAGCTATGACACCGATATGGGTTTTCCTCAAAGTAAATCTTGGGGGTGAAAATAGACCACAGGGCAACATCGCACTCTAACTAACCCACCACAGTTATTCAACCTCTCTCCGGTGTAGCGGGTATCTTGTTTCTCTAAGGCAACGATGGGATATTAGATAACCAGAAGCACACAGCTAGCTTCAACCTCCTACAGTATGTCTGGATATGGTCTATAGAACCCAAGTTCTAGGTTATGGCCCAAATGGCACCCTATTTCCTTTATACTGCACTACTTTTGACCAGAGCCAATAGGGGGTCTCAGGTCAAAAGTAGTGCAGTATATAGGGAATAGGGTGCCATTTGGAAGGCAGCCCTGGTCTAACCTCTATGTATTACCAGAGGGTCACAGTAGAGACATGAAGAATCAGGTTACCTTCCAGTCCAGGTAGAGAAAAGAAAACAGAACTCCATCATTCGCGGGAGCTGTTCAGTCTAGCTCCCAACTTCCTGTAGTCTCGCCAAGGCAATTAAGAAGGGGGTCTTACAGTCAATGGTGTAGGCTATACGTCATCCACACCTGACACGTACACACACACACACACAGACATTCTTGCTGCCCCCTCGCATTCAGTAATTATGTACTGGAAAATTGGTTAGTTACACAGAAAACATCCACCCACTTTACTGCGCTGAAATCCATGGCAAGAGTGTGGTGTTGGAACCAGTGTGCTCTTATGAAGCAAGTAGGAGGGCCAGGAGTATCAAAAAGGACATTGTTCTGTAGCCTTAGCTCACAATGACTAAGAACCTCTTTTGAAAGACATGGATGTTGGCATTGGCACTCACTTTTCATGAACAATACCATACACATTGCATATGTAAAATGCAAACATACAATTGACTTTGCTGATGCGAAAGTTCCTCAATACCTCTTGTCTTGTTATACTTTTTGACCATCCAACCAGTATAAGGATGCATACTATCTGCTCCTCCATTTGGTGGTATACCAGTCTCTCCTATTAGGTTTACCATCAGGGCTGTATCTTGTCTTTGATCTATTTCTTAGATTGCCTGTTTTATCTCTGTATTGACTATATTGTATCTTCAGCTCCTCAATGCCATTCAGCTGTTTGGTGCTAACCTGGACGACTACCTCCACCTGTTGCTGCCTCCCATCGTCAAGCTGTTTGATGCCCCGGATGTACCCCTACAGGCCCGCAAGTGAGTTCAACACACATCTCCCACACACTTGGTTATAGAGCACATGCACTGTAAAGTACATTTTGAGAGTTTATGAATTGACACACAGGTCACTGAGTCACATGAGTATATTCACTCCCATGTTAAATGTTCTTCCCCATCTCCTCCCAATTGGTAATATTACATTAATGAGTAGTGAAGAAATGGGGCCCACTTTCCAAGATACAAAGTGCCAGCATCTTACGTTTATTGTCTGGGTGTCATGGAAGAAATGTGTTCATAAATAAAGGGCTCCCATTTCGATTTCCTAGCATTTGGAGCGAGACGGCCCTTTCTCGGCCACGCTCTCCCAGTGCACTTTGGTAGCTGAGCTTTTTTCTATGTGTTGTTTATCTGTGTTTCCCTCACCCTTCAGGGTTGCTTTGGAGACGCTAGACAGGCTGACGGAGTCCCTGGACTTCACGGACTACGCGTCGCGCATCATTCACCCCATAGTACGCGCGCTGGACAACACCCCCGAGCTACGCATCACAGCCATGGACACGCTGTCCTCGCTCGTTTTCCAGCTGGGCAAGAAGGTACCTCGTTATTAGTTACCGTACCCCCAGGGCCCTCGTAGAACCGCAAACAGGAGCTGACACACACATGCACGCACATGCACACACACAGACACAGACACACACACACACATCCCAGGACCATACGTTTCTCTTCAAGTTTCTCTCCTGTACCTGTGGTTTTTACTACTTCCTGCGGGTCGGTGATGTCATCACATGGTGCCGCAGTTGGGACCGTTACTGTTTACGAGAGTCGATGAGGTCACCCCCCTTAGCCCCACCCAAACCTTAGAAACTAGACCACATGCAGGGAAGTCTGGCCCCGATTTGAAAAGCAGCAGCTTTTGATCCAACCATCAAACCAGGGGCAACGGAGGTTAGATACAGATGGCATCGCCAGTCTGTCGTTAGTGTTATGGCCAGAGGGGATGGAGGTGAACAGATTAAATGCATAAACCACCACATAGCCTACACTCTTTTATTTACTCTCTCTCCTCTCTTTCTCTACTTTTCCCGGCTTCAGTACCAGATCTTTATCCCCATGGTGAACAAAGTGATGTTGAAGCACAGGATCAATCACCAGCGCTATGACGTGCTCATATGTCGGATCGTCAAGGTCTGTTTTGTTCTCCTCGCAACATGTTTGGCCTTAACCTGTATGTGTGTGTGTGTATGTACACTACTGGTCAAAAGTTTTAGAGCAGCTACTCATTCAAGGGGCTTTCTTTATTTTCACTATTTTCTACATTGTAGAATAATAGTGAAGACATCAAAACTATGAAATAACATATATGGAATCATGTAGTAACCAAAAAAGTGTTAAACAAATCAACATATATTTTATATTTGACATTCTTCAAATAGCCACCCTTTGCCTTGATTACAGCTTTGTTTTGATGTCTTCACTATTATTCTACAATGTAGAAAATAGTAAAAATAAAGAAAAACCCTTGAAAGAGTAGGTGTTCTAAAACTTTTGACCGGTAGTGTATATATTTATAATTTTTCAAAAAAATAGAAATACCTTATTTACATAAATATTTAGACCCTTTGCTATGAGACTCGAAATTGAGCTCAGGTGCATCCTGTTTCCATTGATCATCCTTGAGATGTTTCTCCATCTGTGGTAAATTCAATGGATTGGACATGATTTGGAAAGGCACACACCTGTCTTTATAAGTTCTCACAGTTGACAGTACATGTCAGTGCAAAAACCAAGCCATGAGGTCGAAGGAATTGTCCGTAGAGCTCCGAGACAGGATTATGTCGAGGCACAGATCTGGGGAACGGTACCAACACATTTCTGCAGCATTGCAGGTCCCCAAGGACACAGTGGCCTCCATCATTCTTAAATGGAAGAAGTTTGGAACCCCCAAGACTCTTCCGAAAGCTGGCCGACCGGCCAAACTGAGCAATCGGGGGAGAAGGGCCTTGGTCAGGGAGGTGACCAAGAACCCAATGGTCACTCTGACAGAGCTCCAGAGTTCCTCTGTGGAGATGGGAGAACCTTCCAGAAGGACAACCATCTCTGCAGCACTCCACCAATCAGGCCTTTATGGTAGGGTGGCCAGACAGAAGCCACTCCTCAGTAAAAGGCACATGACAGCTCGCTTGGAGTTTGCCAAAAGGCACCTAAAGGACTCTCAGACCATGAGAAACAAGATTATCTGGTCTGATGAAACCACGATTGAACTCTTTGGTCTGAATGCCAAGCGTCACGTCTGGAGGAAACCTGGCACCATCCCTACGGTGAAGCATGGTGCTGTGGGGATGTTTGTCAGCGGCAGGGACTGGGAGACTAGTCAGGATCGAGGAAAATATGAACGGAGCAAAGTACAGAGATTCTTGCTGAAAACCTGCTCCAGAGCACTCAGGAACTCAGACTGGGGAGAATGTTCACCTTCCAACAGGACAGCAACCCTAAGCACACAGCCAAGACAACGCAGGAGTGGCTTTGGGACAAGTCTCTGAATATCCTTGAGTGGCCCAGCCAGGGTCCGGACTTGAACCTGATCGAACATCTCTGGAGAGACCTGAAAATAGCTTTGCAGCGATGCTCCCCATCCAACTTGACAGGGCTTGAGAGGATCTGTAGAGAAGAATGGGAGAAACTCCCCAAATACAGGTGTGCCAAGCTTGTAGCGTCATACCCAAGAAGACTTGAGGCTGTAATCGCTGCCAAAGGTGCTTCAACAAAGTACTGAATAAAGGGTCTGAATACTTATGCAAATGTGATATTTCAGTTTAATTGTTTTATATAAATTAGCAAATATTTCAAAAAAACGTTTTTTGCTTTGTCATAATGGGGTATTGTGTGTAGATTGATGAGGGGAAACTATTTAATCCATTTTAGAAGAAGGTTGTAACGTAACAAAATGTGGAAAAAGTCAAGGGATCTTCCCGAATGCACTGTATATACACTACCGGTCAAAAGTTGGTAACTAATGAACTTATCCTGGACTGAGTAGGTGTTCTAAAACGTTTGACCGGTAGTGTATATATAATAGTGAGGCAACATATGGAGCAATATGCAAAAATCAGAGAATACTCTGAAAACGATGATCCTATCGTGTGGTAGTAGTCCTGAGTCCAACTCTCGCACATTGTCAGCACGTGCCATGAAATGTGTTGAGAATAGAGAGGAGGCAGTCTTTGTGAGGAACACACGAAGGCACGTTTGAACAATTAGAATTCCAAGCCGACGGTGTAATAGAAGAATATTCATCGAGGCACGTTGCTTGTCAACAGTGTGCTTCTCTTCAGGAAGGAAATGCAATTAGTGTGGACAACGCATGTTTAGAAGCCCTGATGTGTGTGTGTTTTGTGTGTCATGGTAACCATGTTTATCTCAGGGGTACACTTTGGCGGAGGAGGAAGAGGATCCTTTAATCTTCCAGCATCGACAGCTGCGCAGTAACCAGGGTGACGTCGGTAGCGGCCCGGCGGAGGCGGGGCCAATGAAGAAGCTCCACGTCAGCACCACAGCCCTGCAGAAGGTCAGGATAAATAACTTGGCATTTCACTTCCTGCACTGTGTGTTGTCTTATTTCAAGTAATACATTAGTTTTTGTCCTCAAACAGGTAGTGCTTTTGGTTTTAGAGACTCGTTATGAAATCACTTCATGGTCCATTGATTGTGATTTTTCAAACAAAGGGTCTGTTATGGTGGATATATAAATGTTTTTCCTTTGACAGTGTGCTCTGTTTTCATCCAATACACTTCACCAGGCATTAAGTCAAGTGTGTTACTGATATAATCGCCAATTTTCCCTTTCTATAAGATGCCAATGGCCAACAATTTGAACTACCTTTGCCTCTGCGCGTCTAATCATTCTAACACATAGTGCCAGACACTGACCTGTCAGATCTGCTGATGGAGACGTCTTCCATCTTCCCTCACCAACTGTTGCCATATGAAGTGCATTAACGTGATTTCCTTAAATTTTTCCTGGTGACCACAGGCCTGGGGCGCCGCTCGGAAGGTGTCCAAGGACGACTGGCTGGAGTGGCTGAGGCGCCTGAGCGTGGTCCTGCTGAAGGAGTCGTCCTCCCCTGCCCTGCGCTCGTGCTGGTCTCTGGCCCAAACCTACATTCCCCTCGCCAGGTATAGCTATCCGCTTTCCTTCCTTCCTTCCCTCCCTCTATCTCTCCATCCATCCCTCTCTTCCACGTTCCACCACACTTCAGAGCACCAGGCAGTCAACCCGTTTTTTCCCACAGAGGTCCTCAGTAAACCGCAGAGGTCCTCATAAGTGTCAAGTTGCAGTTTAGTTTGAATCAAAATACCCTCTTTTCCACTCTTAAACCAGATCATGTTTTGTTTTGCTGCGATAACTTGGGCATGCCTTGGTGTGGCATCCATGGGCTGTTTTTATTTTCTGAAGCCTAAACAATATAATGTGGTCTTTTAACAGATGCTTTCTTTCAAAGCGACATACAATTGTCCAAAGGTGCTTAACAACCGCATTCCGTGAACATTTAGAAATGGTTTAACTAAAAGAAACCTATAAGCAATTGTCCAATTTGAAAGAAGTCCCTTTTTTTCTATAAACCCCCCTAAAAACCCTATGAATAGAACGTATAATTATTATGATGAACTAATGAACTTATGGTCCTTCAAACTGACTGTGATTTAATACCTGTTGCAGTTGTTAACACACAAAAAGACAAACAGGAGGCCTATATCTTGCCCTGAAGACTTGAATTATATACAAATGAATTATATACAAAAATATATGCAGAGGTCGAGCATATCAGCATGTACAGTTACTGTTGTTAAGCTGTTGTTAACTTTCCCATCCATTGTCAGGGACCTGTTCAACGCAGCCTTTCTGTCATGCTGGTCTGAGCTGAGTGAGGATCAGCAAGATGAGCTGATCCGCAGTATTGAACTGGCCCTCACCTCCCAGGACATCGCCGAGGTCACCCAGACCCTGCTAAACCTGGCTGAGTTCATGGAGCACAGCGACAAGGTGGGTTCATACTCGGAGCAGAGGTCTTCGTTCTCCGAACTATAGCAGAGGTCTTCAGCTCCAGTCCTGGAGAGAACTACTTGGTGTGCAGGCTTTCGTTCCAGCCCAGCAGTGACACACCTGATTTCAAATAATCAACTCATCACTATCCTCAGTCTGGGTATTTATTAGCTGAATCATGTGTGGTGATGGCTGGAATAAAGGCCTACACACCCCATAGTTGGAGAACCTTGGTTTAGAGCTATGCCACGGCATCCATCCTTCCATCAATCCACCCATCTAATGAATGTCCTGTGTCTTTTAAGGGTCCTCTGCCTCTGAGAGACGACAATGGCATTGTTCTGCTGGGTGAGAGGGCTGCCAAATGCCGTGCCTACGCCAAGGCCCTCCACTACAAAGAGCTGGAGTTCCAGAAGGGCGCCTCTCCTCTCATCCTAGAGTCCCTCATCAGGTAGGAACGTCATTAAGAGAACACATTAATCTACACAACCCATTTAGAATGGTGGAGTATTTGGTGGGTGCACACTGTACATTTCCTGTGCTTCCCAGATTTGGCTATGGCCAGCATCAATTGTTCAGATATTCTACAGGTAGCTACTGCGGCAGTACAGCTACTGTATGGTTTATGGTTCCCATTGGGTTATATAACTCTTGCTTGTGTTGGGTGATTTCTACTTGGTGAAGCCTAACCAAAAAATTGCTCGAATGGAAGACCCAGTGCTTTTAGTGGCCATTTTCTTTGGCTCCCCCGTGTCAGTTTTGGTGGAATGCGTGTGATTGCACATGGCTGGGGAGGACAGATGCCAGATGTCCAGTAGTTCAAAGTAGCTGTCACTTGCCTTGATGACAAAGTGTAAACAGAGAGAGAGCGCACCGGTTACGTAAGTACAATGTCCGTCTGGTACATTTTGTCCATTTTGTGGATGACACTTGATAATATTTGCTTGGAATTTATTCCGCATGGAAAAGGTGAGTGGATTATTTCTGGATGGGTAGCTATTTTGGAAAGAAGGCTGCTACGATTTGATGTAATGGGATGTTTTGATTAGTGTGCCATGAATTGAACAACCGACTGTAGCTAATGCTTAAGTGCTTTTTTCGGTTCTTGCTTAGGCCTAGTCACTGTAGCATTGGCAGACTTAACTTTACTCAAATCGGAGTCCGTTTTGAGTTAGGACACAGTGGAACAGGCGTCCACCTCAATACAAATATTCTGAGCGTACACTTTGCTAGTTCTTCCATGACCTATTATTTAGGTGTTGTTCAGTGTATTTGTGAACCACAAAGCCTCACTAGAGACAAGGCCGACCCCTGATAAAGGGGTTGTTAAACGTCCTTTAGTCAACGAGTCTAACGTATTACACAGATAATGGTTGATGCGTCCCCCATCCGGTAGCACTTTCAGAACTCCTGTCATCTTTTCCATCCCTCCTCTCACCCTTGTTTTTTACGCTGGTATTGTATGAAGAGAACTGTTTTCCAGCCATTTAATTGGACGTTTGCCTCCTTTCATCCATCGAGTGGTCTGGAATAGCGTTCTCTCAGGGGCCTGTTTTCAATTTCTCCCAGCCTTGATGAATGATGGGAGCCAGCAGCTCAGTGCTTTCAATCTCCCCATCTGGTTCTCACCTCTCCAGGATTTCCCATAAAATAACCTAGCATTTTGCCCATGAGACTCCTGTGCACCACACAGCCCGTTCTATTCCATCACTTTGGTTGGTGTATATAGAAGTAAGAGATTTCTGGGGCCATTACATGATATTCTTAAGTCAGGACGTTTGGAAGATTGTCTTCCATTTCTTTCCCTATCACCAAATATCCATTTGGCCTTTGCAGTGGATTTGTGATTTTATTTTGTACTTAGTAAAGAGATAAAGCTGTGTGTAAGATATCAGGACTCAGTTGCTGGTGGGCCTAGCAGTGAAACTTTGATTTTTGGCATTTGTAAGCAAAAAGTAATCTCAAAAAGTAGTCTATTCAGACCATATGGGTCTTCATTTATTTAGCATTTAGGCATTTCAAATCTGTGGAAGGCATTTACAGACACAGAAGCGGAAATGCACAGTCTTCCATTATCCATGCTGTCCTAGGAAGTGAAAGCGACTTTGATGCTCCACAGCCGTCCAGATGCAGGGGTATACAGTATGAATAAGGCATGAGGGACTTTGAGGCAGCAAAAATGATTTAGGAGCCGCGACCTGGGGTTAATCCACTAGACCACTACGGTAGGTGAGCCTAGGGCCCTGTTCGAATACTTCAAAAATCCTTCTTTCATTTCTTCCATCATTGCTTGAAGTAATTACCAATCTGAATTGAAACTATGCTTTCACGTAGGCTATTTAATCACGTCGGCTTAGGTATTAAGATAAGGATGTTTTTGAAGGATGTTTTTTTCCTTGTCGCTTTTGCTGTCTGGTAGCTGGACATTCGGGTGAAGAAATTCATACAATTAGAGGATCAAAGCAATACATTTTGATAGAAATCAGTCGAGGTCATTGGGTTCTCACATGACGTTTCATTCAAATTCCCTGTAATTTTATAACATTTTGTGTTGAATTGAAACATTTTCTCGTTTGAATTTAATGATTGGAGTCTGGACGGAGTCCCCCTGGTGCGGTAGCTAATATAAAGGCCTCTTAAAGAAAGGGCTGATTTATTTACAGTTTGATCGTGCGACCGGTAACTCGATTGCTTAAGGCAGTGGCTGGAACCGAGTGTCATTGCATCTGGCCCATCTGTTTATAGCAAATGCGTGGCCTTAATGTTGCCCGTGCAAATGAAATTTCAAATGAAGTCTGGGATGCTCAGATGTAAGGGGCTGAAACCTCTTAAGCAGAAGCTATCCTGTCAGACTGTGAGATGAGTACCCATCCAGTGCTGCTCGTCCTAACTCTCTCATATGTGTTATTTACATTTTGTACAGTCCTCCGTCAGGTTTCTATAAAACATTTTTTAAATAACTTTGCGTTTTAAACCGTAGCCCAATGCTTATGTAATGGTTTTCAAAAGGAACAAATACGTAATAGGATGGACTTGCGTCCCAACTCCTGTCCTCTGTAGCTCAATTGGTAGAGCATGGCGCTTGTAACGCCAGGGTAGTGGGTTCGATCCCCGGGACCACCCATATGTAAAAATTTATGCACACATGACTGTAAGTCGCTTTGGATAAAAGCGTCTGCTAAATGGCATATTATTATTATTATTATTATTCACTCTGAATGAAGCATAGCAATATAGAACCTAACGGAACGTTGAGATACAGGTGTGTTAGTTCTATTAGTGCCACACTAAACACTTTAAAACCGACACAGATGCAGTTTTGAGATGTGCTTCCCTCATTGCAAGATAAAATGTAATAATTATATAATAATATTACATTTTTTCTTCATTTGCCATGGAAATAAGTTCTCGCTGCCCCTATACATTACATTGCTAACTACCTTTGCTAACTGCCATTGCTAACTACCATTTAATGCCAGTAATAATACAAGTGAAGTGCAATGCTTGACATCCATCCAAATGAAATACACTCTGAAATGTTGTGTAGAAGGTAAGAGCAATTACTATAATTGATGGTTTCCGGCCTTCTACTGAAATATTTGAATGTTTTAGGAATACATAGTTTCTTCGCAGCTGCATCTGAAAGGCTATAAAAATGATTGGATATCTCCTTGACGGCATAGTGATTTAGTTATTTCCTTAATTTGACTTTTAAGATACTGTCTCTTTTACATCGCCAGCAAAGGGACCAAAAGCCAACGTCTCCTTCAGTACGATATCTTGATATAAATAGCTGAGGCTTTGGCAGTACCATTTTGAGAAAGTTAGGCTACCCTGTAAATGAACTATAAAAGTCCCCCGGCAGGCCTTGCAGTGGACGGGTCGAAGAAATGAAACGTCGGCCATTAGCACAGGGTCATTCCACATACACAACCGAAAGGTTACACCAGGCCACAGGGTTCCTTGATTAATGAGGACTCCGACGGGAACCTCCCAGTTCTCCTTGGGACCCCAAGCTCTACTCCGCAGCTGCTAGTGGAAACCTTTTTGGACTAGTGCAGCCACAAGCTCTGCATACATGAGCATGGCTCTGTCATTTGTCATCTATCCTAAATTATCCTCAGAATTTGTCACCGTCCCTAAGCTCCCAAGGACTTACTTTTAAGAATGTTGTTCATCCGCCACAGTCTTTCTCGGGAAGGTGAGGAATGGAAGCACCCACACTTTATTTGGAATGCCCTCCATCCTGACCTTAGCTCCTCTTTGAAGGGACTACACAGGCAGTGCATCCCGCTGAAGGTATTCCACTATAAACTCTTACCATTTCAGTGGTATGTAGTTTAAAAGCCATTGTTTTTTTAATGTGGTATATACCTGTAGAGGCCATTGACTGGACGGGCATTCGTGGGAAACGTGTGTGGTCTTGTTTCCTGGAGTTTGGCTATGTGACCTTTGACCTGTGGCATGAATGTCAGTGTGACCTGAGAGTCAGGGATCAGTGGTGGCTGAAGGCAAAGGCTTTGTCATTGTTGGTCAGAAACATAAGGGTGATCAACTGTCTGCTTCTCAAACCTACTGTTGCTCTTTCACCGTACCAGCTAACCATTGGGGACTTGTGATAATTTGATGACATTGAACTAAGACAGACGGCTAGATGAATAAACCACATTGACTACCATCAGCAACACACCTTTTTTAAAAATACACATTTATTTTCTATCCCACAAAACAACACAATTATAGAGCTGTACATGTTTTACACAATTCCCAAAAAATCTACATGTTAGTTTTCTCACAATAAAATCTGTCGGGTACTTCTGATGAAAGTACATTGGGTGGTCGTTCCTCTTCCAGTAGCTCACAAAGGCCCATTGCAAAACACTCGATGGATCTTCATATATGTTTTTGCATTGTCATACTTTCCCAATACATGTAATCAACTTAACCACAGGCTAGTAGACAGCTTGAGTTAGGACTGATAAATATACTCTATTGCTTTGAGACAAATTATGGAGGGAAGCAACATTCAGTTACCCTTACGGAACAGTGGTAAAGAGGCTTCTGTAAAGCTTTTAAGAAAATATAGTATTTCAACGATAAATACAAAATTAACTACAATTTACAATCAAACATGTTAAACGCATTACACATTCAACCCATAGAAATATTCCAGGCAATAACAAAGGTATTTTTTTTCCCCAATCAAGGGGAAAGACTATTTGGTTGCTCAGGCTTTGTTAAATCTCTTGGCAAGCATGCACATCATCCAGGGTTTGAAGTTAGAAGCATTTATGGTTGAAAATTCTGTGGCCGGATCTTCATCTCCACTCTCTTCAGGGAGTAGTTGGGCCCGTGCCAGCCGTACCAAGTGATTCCATCTGAGTTCTTGCTGTGGTCGCCATAACGATAGAACACGCCATTCAGGTTGGAGTCAGTGCAACAGTTGTACCAGTAACCACCTGTAGGGGAAAATATTAAAATAGTAATTGGAAAGAAATTGAAAGGTGTTCAAGGAATTGATTCCAATTAATTCTTACATGGAATCAATCTTAATCTATGAAAATCGAAATTATATGAGTTAAACCCGAGTTAAGTATTTTGTACCTTTGCGTAGTGAAGCACAGTCGTCCACACATTTGTCGTTGTCCTTGTCCTTGGTGCTGAAGTTGGTGTTGTTGTGGTAGCGCAGAGAGTCCCCAGCGTTTCCACTATAGTTGGCGATGAAGAGTTTGTAGCTGTTCAACTCGTTTTTCATTGTGAAGTAGCTGTACTCTGCAAAGCGGGTCTGGCCTTCCCAGTCCTTCATTGGAGAACAGAAAACATAAATAGTACCTGATTTACATATTTGCAGCACAGCTTGTGGTAAAACTATGCAACTGACAATATTGAACTTTGTAGTTGAAATAGTAATGTTATCACTTTTGGTGAAGCAAGAGGTTTACCAATTGCCCATGAGGTTTCTTTTTACTGTGTTTTGGGTGGTCTATCTTTAGTCTCCTGGCTCTGAATAAAACCTCCCACTGCTAACATCAGTTTCCCATGAGTGGTGTGTGTCAGAACCATGGAAAGCTTTACCAAGGTGTTATCTATTTACTACTCTCAATATCTGGGGCCTGGTCTGGGCGGCTAGCCTGTTTTGGGGGGCCCACCCTCAGCCGTCCTTTGTACCTCCATCTCTATCCTCAGTGTGCTGGGCTGCCTTGTCAGACGGAAGATGTTGTCATTGCCCAGCCAGAAGTCTCCGCGGATGGTGCCAAAGCCGTTCTTGTACTGTTTCCAGTCGCGGTTGAAGGAGGTCAGGCCCACCTTGCGTCTCTGGATGATCGTCCATCCACCGCCATTGCTGTCCATATCACAGAATACCTGAAACCAACAGCACAGGATAAACATGTGGCTCAGTTGGTAGAGCATGGCGCTTGCAATGCCAGGGTTGTGGGTTCGATTCCCACGGGGTACCAGTACGAAAATGTATGTACTCACTACTGTAAGTTGCTCTGGATAAGAGTGTATGCTAAATGACTAAAATGTAAATGTAAACAACCTACCCCAACAAGTCTGTGAAAAGTCTGACACATTCATGGCATTCTACAGAGACTACAATGTAGCAGGGATCTGTGAACCTAAAACTTGTTTGCAGTTACAGGGTTTATCACTTACGTCTATCTCAGGGGTCCCCAGGAAGTCATCTGCAGGCAGTTTGTACTCCCCGGAGATCTTGTAGTTCTTGGTGTACAGGGATGCGCAGTCATAGATGGCATCTATAAAATAAAAGGTTATGTTATTAGAGATGGCCAAACCAGATGCCGTTTCATGGTGGGTTTAAAAAATGCAAATTGACTGAATCATGGGAATAGATGTCTGGCAGAGAAGTCAAAGACTTTGCATAGTTCCCTCCATTGTTCATGTGACGGCATGGTGATGCCATTAGTGGTGCTCTGAGATCACTGGGGAGAAATGGATCCAATGCATCAAAAAGGGGCTAAAGTGTTTTCATGGCTGGAGGCTGGAGTGGAAACGCCACTCTAATCTTTGCTTTTCTTCCTGCTCTGCTTCCCCGTCTGCACAGTGTCTCTGTAATTTGCAGAGTCTTTATAAAGCTCCTCTCTGTTTACCGTGCCTGCATCATAAAAGTAACACTGCTAAGACTGGCTAATAGGGTATCAAAAGAATACACTGCTACATGCCTGGTTAAATCTCCCCACAGTGATGAGTGGTTTGGTTAAGTTCAGATGACTGATGGAAACAATTGGCTTTGATGGAGGTGGTCTTTATTGACAGACTTCGTGCAGACAGGACACTAAAGTGTTCAAATTATGGCATTTGGCTACCATGAGACGCCCAGACAAGTTTGTGCACTATAATCTCCATTATCACCAAGTGATGGCAGCTGTCCAGTGCCCAAGATTCGGAGCGCCCATGGCTATTTATAGTTTTCAATGTCAAAAAATATGTTTAGTGTCCTGTAAATGAAAATGTTTGTGTATTCTGAATTCCTTAATTTTTGACAAACAACAACACCCTACATACCAACGTAATAGAACACATTTTGGTTGGTTGTTTAATGATTTTTGAAACGAATAGTCGTATCTCTGTAAGGGGTATTTTTAAGTGGATTGTTTTCTGACTGCAGACTGACTGATGTCATAAAGTGTAGGGAAAAAAAACTTTAAGACGAACCAAATTTCCTGTGTGTCTGACGTTAGGTGTGTGCTATGAATATTTATGGCAGTGTGTAATGTATGGCAGCCAGTGATATGATTTTCACACCTGTGGAGAGCATCTGGCAGAAGATGCTGAGCATCTGGCAGAAGATGCTGAGCAGGCAAGCGCAATAGAGAGAGAAGTATCGTTTGGGTCTAAACTGAACTGGGTCTGCCATGTGGAGCTGGACAGATATCCACCCTGGCCATTTGTCAGTCACTACTGTACTACTGCATTCTACTACTCAAAGGCTATTATTTTCACCAGAAAACCTTTTGTGTTTTATTCCTACTAATTATTTGATTTCAAACAGTTTTTGATGCCTTAATCTAGCTTTTTTTTGGTGGGGGGGGTGAGAATCACATTCACTGAAGTTGAAAAATAGTGAAGGAATGAAAACAGCACTACATTTTAAATTCACACTAAAGCAGTGTTTAATTTATCTTTACTTCTTTGTTGCTGAGGAGCAATGAACACATTCCCTGGCCCAAGAACCTGGGACACAGCCACAAGGAAAGTTCTTACCTGACGAGGTCTGAGTGGCAGACTGGGCGGCTTGTAACTGCATGATCTCCACCCGGTTGTTGATCTCGGAATACTTGCTCTCGGCCTCTGTGACGCGGGCCTCCTGCTGCCGGTTCTGCTTATCCAGCTCCATCATCTGCCTCACTACGTTCATCAAGTCTGCCTCCTGCTTGCGGTTCAGCTCCTCCAGGAGGCTGGTTAGGTTGGCCACCTGCACCTTCAGGGAGCGCACCTCATCGCAGCACTGCGCCTTTGGAGACTTGGGTGGCGCCAGTCTCTTCCTTGGGTTCTGCGCCCACGCTTCTGTCAGCACCAGCAGCAGGGTGACACTCAGAGCCACCGTCCGCAAAGACATCTTTACCATTTTCTATGTTTTAAAAAATGGATACTTGCACCTATGTGAAGTACTATTTTCTCTTGTCTTGCTCTCCTTGAATACAAGCTGTCCTGGTCCAGTCTGATTCTTTAGAGGTGCAGGAGGTCCTGAAGAGACTAAGTGAGCAGGATTGGTTCGATTGAGTTAGGAATCAAAGTCCTGACTGGTTGAAGTGAAGCTCTCTTTGGCCAACTGTTTGCTCAGGCTCTTTGCTCCTCAGTAAAGCACTGCTGTGGCTGGTGCATCTTAAATATTTTTGACGTGTGCCCTCCCCTTTTGTGGTTGTGCTCACAGTCACTGACCCCCCTCCAACCCTCTGGGCGGAGGACCTTCCCCACCCCGGTTTCTTCCTCCCACCTCTCCATCTCTCTCTTTCTCTCTCCTCTTCTCTCTCTCTCCTCTTCTCTCTCTCCCACTCTCTCAATCTCACTCTTGTTGGTTCTGCTCTGTCTCGTTTCTTTGTCAGGTGTTGAAAGTTTATTTTTCGCACTGTCTGAAAGAGCAAAGAAGGGAGCGGCTTTGTATCTAACAGCCTTTCATTCCCAATGACTCGTCTTTATACAGAGGCACACCTTGCTAATGACTTTTGATGCTTGTATCAAGCTTTGTGATTTTACTGCTCAAAGTAATGGTATGTGTACAATTTATCTTGGGCTTGCCTTCACACCTGTACTCCTTGTTAGTGGTAGTTGTGTGTCACCCTCAGGGGAATGTTTCATCAATAAACGCTGCCTCTTTACATGCCAAAGGAATTTGTTAAGGACTCTTAATTAAGGGTTAAGCACATGTTTGTTATTGATGCCACTGTGTTTCTGTCCCTTTCTAGCACGGAGGAGTAACAATATGACTTACAATAAGTCAACATGAGTTACAGTAAGTCAACATAAGTTACAATAAATCAACCAGTTGCAACGAGGGAACAAGCAAGCCGCAAAAGAGCTGAAATTATATCAAACCTCCACTAGAAAGGACTTGGCTTTTTATAGTTTAGTTTGTGTTTGGGATGTGTGTGTGTACAGTTTGTGTGCTCATCAGTTTGATGTCCTTGTGATCTAAGGCCCCGGCACTGAGACCCAAGTTGTTTCCTCAATCAATATGTCTTCAGAACTATCTACAGTGTCTTTAGAAAGTATTTATTTCCTTCACTTATTCCACATTTTGTTACAGCCTGAATTCAAAATGGATTAAATATTTTTTTTTTTATTAACCATCTACATATAATACCCCATAATTACAGTGAAAATGAAATGCAGAAATATCGAATTTACATAAGCATTCACACCCCTGAGCCAATACATGTTAGAATCACCTTTGGCATTGATTACAGCTGTGAAAGTCTCTAAGAGATTTCCACAGCTGGATTGTACAATATTTGCCCATTTTATTATTTTCTAAATTCTTCAAGTTCTGTCAAGTTGGTTGTTGATCATTGCTTAGACAACCATTTTCATGTCTTGCCATAGATTTTCAAGTAGATGTAAGTCAAAACTGTAACTCGGCCACTCGAGAACATTCACTGTCTTCTTGGTAAGCAACTCCAGTATAGATTTGGCATTGTGTTTTAGGTTATTGTCCTGCTGAAAGGTGAGTTCATCTCCAAGTGTCTGTTGGAAAGCAGACTGAACCAGGTTTTCCTCTAGGATTTTGCCTGTGCTTAGCTCCATTCCGTTTCTTTTTTATCCTGAAACTCCCCAATCCTTAGCTATTACAAGCATACTCATAACATGATGCAGCCATCATTATGCTTGAAAATATGGAGAGTAGTACTCAGTAATGTGTTGTATTGGATTTGTCCCAAAAGTTAATTGCTTTTGACAATTATTTGGCAGTATCACTTTAGTGCCTTGTTGCAAACATGATGGATGTTTTGGAATATGTTTTATTCTCTACAGGCTTCCAATTAGGTTAGTATTGTGGAGTAACTACAATGTTGTTGATCCATCCTTAGTTTTCTCCTATCACAGCCATTAAACTCTGTAACTCTTTTAAAGTCACCGTTGGCCTCATGGTGAAATCACTGATTGGTTTCCTTCCTCTTTGGCAACTGAGTTAGGAAGGATGCCTGTATCTTTGTAGTGTATATAGCCTCATTATTGTTTATTGTGTTACTTTTATTTATTTTTTACAGTTTATTTAGTAAATAACTCTATTTTCTTAACTGCATTGTTGGTTAAGGGCTTGTAAATAAGCATTTCACGGTAAGGTCTACACCTGTTGTGTTCGGCACGTGACAAATAACATTTGATTTGATTTGACTGGGTTTATTGATACACCATCCAAAGTGTAATTACTAACTTCCCAATGCTCAAAGGGATATTCAGTGTCTGCTTTTTTATTTTATTTTTTTCAATCTACCAGTAGGTGCCCTTCTTTGTGTGGCATTGGAAAACATCCCTGGTCTTTATGGTTGAATCTCTGTTTTAAATTCAGTGCTCGACTATGGGACCTTACAGCTAATTGTATGTGTGTGGTACAGAGATGAGGTAGTCATTCAAAAATCATGTTAAACACTATTACTGCACACTGATTGAGTCCATGCAACTTATTATGTGACTTGTTAAGCAGATTTTTACTCCTGAACTTATTTAGTCTTGCCATAACAAAGGGGTTGAATACTTAAGCTGACATTTCAGCTTTTCATTTTTTATTAATTTGTAAATAATTCTAAAAACATAATCCACTTCGACATTATGGGGTATTGAGTGTAGGCCAGTGACAAATCTCAATTTTATCAATTTCAAATTCAGGCTGTAACAGTGGAACAAGTCAAGGGGTGTGAATGCTTTCTGAAGGCACTGTATTCCTAACAATAAGAACAAGCAGATAAGGAAATAGTGTCAGGTCATACGTCAGAATGGCATGGCACATCAAAAATAGTATATTGGCCTAGAGCAGTCGCCATTCATGGTGAAGTATCAAATAACTTGCATAATTTAACACTGAGGGTTACATAGACCATACATAGGATCTTGACATGTGTTTTTAGGTTTCCCTCTCTTTGTTTTCTCCCTACCAACCATCCTGTAGTAATGCGTTTGTTTGTCTCTATATTAGTTCAGGGAAATGAAATTAATGAACAGCTTCGTGTTTAGAGAGTTGTTGGCCCGTCATTGTCTGCCTTTTTGACTAATTGTTTTCTACTCATGATTATTTCCTGTAGACATGACATGGTATTCCACTATTTCCTTAATCTTTGTTAGTTACAGGACCTACATGTGCCTACCACAACAAATGGGTGATATAAAGTAACATGCAGCATACATTGTATGACCTCGTACTGTTTTCTGCACGACCCATTCCATACATTTTAGAACATCCACCAGAGAGGAATCATTAAATTATTTTAAGATTGTATTGAAACGTTTTGACTGTAATGTTGTAAATCTAATACAGCCGAGTCAGAAACTAGGCTAATACATATTTCCCCCTACTGCTGACCATGTTGCCTTTAGACTAGGGGTCTGACAAATGGACAATTTTGCTTAACGTTTAAACAGCAATTTTTTTGTATCGGTTTTCCGTTCAAATGATAAGAAAAAAATCGTAACATTCCACGTCAATTTACAATGCAGAATAATGGTCCTATTATGTATGAATGACCGCTATGGCCGGGCAATGAAGTTATATCTACCGCAATCATTTACAGACAGAACGCAGCTACAGTAATATGTCAATAGTGACAATTGGTAACTTTTCAGACAAATAAAAAAAGTGACAGTAGAATTCTGCTCTAGCATAAAATGTTCTGTATTTTTTTCCCTAACAACAATAAACGTAGCTGATTGATGTGCTGCTGTGTAGTTTTTTTATGCTGTTTTTTATGGTATGGTAGCTAGATCTTTTATTTCTACTAAGTATCTTGGTAAGTCACTGTATTTAACAAACTTTAAAGTACTTTTTTTTTGTTGAGAGATTGGTATGCGCACAGGAGCTCAAGATTATTTGATTGACAGTTCTGGTTGCAGAGTGATGGACGTTAGTTCCGCTTCAGAAACCCCATTCCTTTACAGACAATTCAAATGCCTGTTCATATCTCCAGAGAAGGTTTCGTGTCGGCATTTAAAAATCCATAGTGTAGCCTACCCTAACAGACAGACAAACAAACATGCCGTAGACAAGGCGCTTTCAAAGGGCCGCATTCCATTATGTCTGAAAAGGGTTATCGATAAAGGCTACCGGTAGCCTACTGTAATGTCATATTATGAGGCAAAAAACTAAGACTAGGCTACCCCGAGCTCGAAAGACTGGCCCGAAGATACCTCTGTATCCTGGCGACATCGGTGATATGAATAGGCTATGATATTCTACACACAACAGACTGAAGATTGAACACGCACTTGCATCATTAGCGAAGAGACAGAGCAGGCAGGCCAGCTCAAGGGAGAGAGAGGAGCGGCAGGCAGAAACGTGCTCATATGTTTTGGTAATCTGCATCTTGCAATGTCTTGTCTTGCATGCCTTACAAATTCACCAAGTAGCCTGAAGTTCACCTCTTCCTCTGGTTTTATTTGAATTACACAACTTTCCCAGACCTTTATAGCCAATCAGCTACAGTGGGGAGAACAAGTATTTGATACACTGCCAATTTTGCAGGTTTTCCTACTTACAAAGCATGTAGAGGTCTGTAATTTTTATCATAGGTACACTTCAACTGTGAGAGACGGAATCTAAAACAAAAATCCAGAAAATCACATTGTATGATTTGTAAGTATTTAATTTGCATTTTATTGCATGACATAAGTATTTGATCACCTACCAACCAGTAAGAATTCCGGCTCTCACAGACCTGTTTGTTTTTCTTTAAGAAGCCCTCCTGTTCTCCACTCATTACCTGTATTAACTGCACCTGTTTGAACTCGTTACCTGTATAAAAGACACCTGTCCACACACTCAATCAAACAGACTCCAACCTCTCCACAATGGCCAAGAACAGAGAGCTGTGTAAGGACATCAGGGATGAAATTGTAGACCTGCACAAGGCTGGGATGGGCTACAGGACAATAGGCAAGTAGCTTGGTGAGAAGGCAACAACTGTTGGCGCAATTATTAGAAAATGGAAGAAGTTCAAGATGACGGTCAATCACCTTCGGTCTGGGGTTCCATGCAAGTTCTCACCTCGTGGGGCATCAATGATCATGAGGAAGGTGAGGGATCAGCCCAGAACTACACGGCAGGACCTGGTCAATGACCTGAAGAGAGCTGGGACCACAGTCTCAAAGAAAACCATTAGTAACATACT